GTTAAATATAACGCCTGTTAACAACAGTTTCTGAAAATTCCAAATTGACTAAATGCGAAATATTAGAAAATATTTTAACCCGTGTTTCTATTCACGAGTGGAAACTCACACGTGAATTTTTACAAATAAAATATACAATTTCCCCCGCACCGAATTACCGGCGACGCCAATGTAATAAAATATAGGGGGTTTTACTAATAATGTCGCCTACCTTAGTATAAGGTGACGACGGAACACCCAGGTTTACATGATGAATAAACACGGGTACATATGCAACACATATAAGAACAGGTAACGTGGTGAATAGGTAGACTGGCAGGACTCGACTGACGAGGGAAGCGTGCCGGCACGGGTGGGTGGCTATGAGGTCAGGGTGAAAGGTCATAGGAGATATATTTACATATGTATTTTCACTACATTCCTCCCCGTTTTATTTAATAATCCTACCGGCGACGCCAATGTAATAAAATATAGGGGGTTTTACTAATAATGTCGCCTACCTTAGTATAAGGTGACGACGGAACACCCAGGTTTACATGATGAATAAACACGGGTACATATGCAACACATATAAGAACAGGTAACGTGGTGAATAGGTAGACTGGCAGGACTCGACTGACGAGGGAAGCGTGCCGGCACGGGTGGGTGGCTATGAGGTCAGGGTGAAAGGTCATAGGAGATATATTTACATATGTATTTTCACTACATTACTGAATTATTACTAATCAACTATCTTGTTGACCATAATTGGTGTCTTTTATAATTTCAATGAAGAAGTAACTGTATCAATTGCTTTATAGAGCCCCAAAACTTTAAGAACTATGAGTACAAAGTCTCTTAAGGAGACGCAATTTGATGAGTGATTTTTACATGCATTATTTTCAGAAGAGTTCAAGTTTGAATATTATCACTTCACCAAGGTGCGACATTTTGTGCATGCTGAGAAAATAACTCATTTAAGAAAAAAGTGTGATAAAATAGCTAAATCAAGCTATTCTGAATAGCTTAATAAAGCTGTATAGCTAAATCAAGCTATATAGCTAAATCAAGAGATTGTGCCGGACCTGTTAGTATAATCACATACTGCATGTAAAAGCTACTGTACTTACTAAACGTTAGAAGTCAGATCAAATGTACCAGCTGAAAACGAGATGCTACTGATTGTGAGATCGCACTGATTTAGGACGTTCCATGGAATGTCAGACACCTCGGCCCATTGACATTTCGGCCCAATGACACCTCGACTCAGACGGGTCGGCCCAAGATTGAAGACACCTCGGCCCAAGCAAAATTTTACTATGAAATATATATTTCCAATTTTGGGACTTGAATTAAATATTTATTGAAAAAAATACATGAATAAACTATCGAGATTTTTTCAAAAGATCTTTCACAAGCACTTTGACGATATTCAGTGAATGAGAAGCCAATGTTATTAATCATTAAAGTGCTAAATGATAAACAAGTAATATGCCACGGCGCATTCTTTGGTATTGGTGACAACAGGGAGTTAATTACGAGCAGAGTTAATTGGGATATAGTAATTAAAGTCAGCTATTGAATATTTTCTCATTGATTTCTTAAGAAAAAACACTTCCATTCATGAATATATTATCATCGCTTATAACTAGTTCGAGTCCATTTTTTTTTCTTTTTTCCAAGCTCTTTGTATCAAACCAAGTATGTGTGCTTTTTAAAAAAAAAGAAAAAAAAAGAAACATACAATGAAGTCATTTAGATCGATCTTATACAAACTATTAAAATGTTTCTTTTTTTTTTTTAAACAAGACCTCCATTTTTTAATTTTAAAAAAATCATTTAATTGGCAGAAAAAATAATTACTAAAACAATACTACCAATTCAAACGCTGTTAATTTCATAAAATTTTGCTTGGGCCGAGGTGTCTTTTATATGGGCCGACGCGTCAACAATATTGGGCCGACCTGTCAGGGCCGAGATGTCAAGCGTGCCGGGCCGAGGTGTCGTTGGGCCGAGATGTCTGTCTACCGTTTCATGATATCACAATAGTGAAAGCTTTTGTTTGGATAACTGTACACCATCTTGTGTGAGATGATGCATGGATGAGTATAATTGCATCATATTGTGCTGAGTTATACCAATCAATTACCGTATTATTTTGACCATAATTGACCTCCTTTATAATTTCATTCAAGAAGTTACACTGTGGTTACAAATCAATTGCTGGATTACTTCTAGTATACTGGTCCCTATAAATATGGCGCTAAAATAGGTGCCGCCGAAGGCGGTGTACAATATATATATGATCCCGTAAGCAATCAACAAATTCGGGAAAAAAAAGCCACAAATTGTAAAATTGATCAAAAATTCGTGTTCCTTGTGAAAAACTGGGTTTAAAAGACTGGTTTTTAAACACAGTTTTTTAAATGAAAATTAAAAGAATTTCGTAAAGTAACGTACTTGTTTAGTAGGTAAAACTCCATCTTGCATTGTTTAGGAATGTGGTCACATGATCAATTTTTGATGTAATCTCATAAATATTCATGAGGTGCGTCACTTGTGTTTTGATGTAATGAAGAAATATCTGATAGGACTCAAATTGCAATGCTATTAAAATTGTGAGATTTTTGTGAGAAATACAGGGATTTAACAAATGGAAGCTAATTACTAGTCGTTGATTGATCGAATTGTGCATCATCATCAATTTCAAATTAAAAATATTCTGAATATGATCATTAGGAGGTCAGGATATCGAGCTGCAGTAAACAGTAAGTCGCTTTTATCAATAACTTGCCTAAACTTAGAGCACAATATTGGTTATGGTTTGACATTAGACCTAGGTCAATTCATTCGAGCTTTCGGTCATAAAACTTTCCTGTTCTTTGTAAGAAAAAATTGCATGAACTAGCCCAAAGTAATGGAGATGTGTTTAAAACAGTTACAATCTCTGAGCTATATATACTCTAACCCTAATCCGTCAATCGCATACAACGCACCCATATTTAATTAACAGTTTTCTTCATGTTTTAACTTTAACATGTTTCATACTTTACTCCTGTACAGGGTTTTAAACTAACTTGTAATCCTTGATAGCCATATGGGCTACTGAACCTTGCAATTATGGGGCCCACATCAAAATTTATTCCCCCCCAGATTATCACACCTTCTATTGAATGTAAAAACAACAACCCCATTTTTCGTTTTTTTTATCATGTGCTTCGTGTTTCTTTTCTATCCGTTGTAACATTATGCATGACTTATCTAAATTTGAAGTGGAACTCTTCTGTTTATGAAGATTGATATGATCATTCAGTATCATATATAGAGCACATGGCACGTTTTCATTCACAAATAACAACTACTTTTTCGTTTCTTGGGCTCATTGACCCGTTGATGCCACATTGTGCCCGACATAATCACTTAAACGCTTTATGTATAAGTACTTCTTACGGGTAATTATAAAGCACTTTTCTGATTACAAAATTTTTCAAGAGAAAAATACAAAAAAAACATTCGGGCAAAATTGAAAAACAAGTATTTATTATCGTAAATTTTCTAATCGCCATATGGGCAACTTGAACGTAATTTTAAGTCGCCCACATGGAACATAAGTCACAAATTTCGAGTGGGCGACTGTTAATTTCAAACCCTGCTGTAAGATAATATATCGGCACAGTTCGACATTAGGCTGATTCATGCAAGTTTTTGGTCACAAAAGGCACTTGGCATTGCTTTTTGTCAGCAAAAGTTAAATGAATTAGCCCAAAGTCAGGAAGATTTCAGATTGGATTTATAAAACAGCCCCAATCTTAAAACTATATACCCTAACCCTAATCACTTGATTGAATGCATTCTGTTGAAGCGAATGGAAAATGGCGGTTTGTTTACATTCTGCATAGCATCGGCAAGGGAAATAACAGCTCATGTGCAGTCGCATGATTCTGGGGTCCGGCATACTAGAAACTTCCCCAATTGCAGCTTTATATAGTTCCAAAACTTTTAGAACTTTGAGTATTAAGTCTCTCAAGAAGACGCATTTTGATGAACAGTTTTAACATGCATTGTTTTCAGAAGAGTTCAAGGTTTAATACTATCACTGCACCAAGGTGCGACATTTTGTGCATGCTGAAAAAATAACATATTTAAATAGCTAATTCAAGCTATATAGCTATTTATTAACACATTTCTCTGTCCCAGAGAACATCAATTCTTATCACATGGTAATTCACTGAAAACACTGGTTAATGTACTGATTAACAGTCTAGACAACTTACTGATTAACAGTCTAAACAAACTCGAAAAAGTCACTTGGAATAAGAAATTCAGACTAAAAACACTGGTTAAGGTACTGATTAACAGTCTTTACAAACTCCAAAAAGTCACCTGAAATGAGAAATTCCGACTAAAAACACTGGTTAAAGGATTTTTATCATCATGATGTCTCAAAATTTTTTGATATAACAAAGTTTACATGCTATTAAAATCATTCGTTTAAAATTCTTTACTAGAAAATCAATATTTTGGGTGTTTTCAGCAATTCAAAGTTTGAATTTCTCAATATGCATATTTTGATCGCCAATGTTGTGCGTCATTGCTCTGACATTATAGGTGTCAATCCTTGTCAAACGAAGTACTTATTGTGCTTCAGGCCTCAGGCTTATAAGAAATATTATTCCAATCTAGAATTAGTATCAGTATTTTATGTTAGTGACTGAAGTGTTTTGTTTGTTTTTTTTTCTTCCTTAGTACTGTACTTTATTAAAAAATTCTAATGTAAACAAAATTGTATCCAAATAATGACGATGAGTATCAAATTATTTCGTGTATCACAAAGAGTATGTAATTGCTCCAGGTAAAAAAAAAATTAACAATTTAGACCACTCCCACTTCTCAGGTAACTACACAGTAAAAAAAAATTAGGTCTGTAAAGACTTTTAGCTAAAATTTCCTTCTTATAGTGAAGTTACCTACAGGGTATTTTAAAAGTAAATCTGTTAATTTTTTTCCTTTTTGATTTTTAGACAGAATATGGATGGAACGGAATCTCTTTGCTCATCAGTGCTAGAGGATGAGGAAGATTCTTCATCATATTCCAGTGAGAAGCATTCTGGCAGCCTCATCAAAAACTTTGAGTACTTCAGAAAAGAGGGGGGCTATAGTGACATCACACTCCAAGTTGGGCAGAAATCTTTTCCTTGTCATAAGATCATTTTAGCTGCCGGTTCCCCTTATTTTAAATCTATGTTTGAGTCTGGTATGGAAGAGAGCAGGAAGACTTGTATAGAGATCAAGGAAGTAGATGAGAATGTTTTTGAGAAGATACTTCACTTCATTTACACTGGAAAAGTAGATATTAGTTCTTTAATTCTCCAAGAACTTTTTGGACAATCCTGTATGTTTCAAGTTACAGCTTTAGTTGATCTGTGTGTGAGACATTTCCGTCTACACATGACAGAGAATAATTGTTTAGTGGCACTCACACTAGCTGATTCACATGCTCACAAACATTTATACAACTATGCTAAAGAGTATGTGTGCATGAACTTTCAAGTTGTGTCTCAAGAGGAGGACTTCTGCAGGCTGTCAGCAGATTGCATCAAAGATATTCTCTCGGACAGTAAACTGGATTGTGATGGTGAAGAGCAAGTTTTTGAGTTTGCCATAAAGTGGCTAGATTTTGAAGGAGAGAAAGAGAAGAGAAAAAATTCTGTGTTCAAGATACTAAGCTGTGTAAAGTTTCCTCAAATGAAAAGAAGTTATCTTACAAGTGTTGTGGCAAAATCTCCATACCTAGCAGATGATGAGGGGAAGGAATTGCTGGAAAATGCAATGATCTATCACCTACTTCCTGCCAGAAGGCCAATGCTGCCCTCTTACCAGATCACTCCAAGATCATCAACAAAATCAGCAAATGTAGAGGTCGCTGTTCTTCTTGGGGGTCGTCTTGCAGATGGTTTGAGTAATGATGTTGAGTGCTTCAAGTCAGATTCCAGGGAATTTTTTGCTTTGAAACAGCTGCCTTTTAAGAAAAGAAATGAATTTGCTGCATGTGTTCTGGGTAATGACATTTATGTTTCAGGGGGATTGAGGAGTGGAGAGTTCTGGAAGTTTGATTATGACTTTGCAACCTGGATTCGAGGAACCAGTCTTTTACAGCCCAGACGAAGACATGCTATGGCCCCAGTCGATGAAAGTATCTATGTTTTAGGGGGATTTGATGAAGACAGTGTTTTGCATTCTGTGGAAGTATGGAAACCTGGGAGTAAACAGTGGAAGTTTTATGGAAGTTTAGCTAGCCCAGTGGAGAATATGGGATATGTGGCATATGTCAACTGTATTTTCCTTTTTGGAGGGAAAAACCAAGAAGAAGTGGTGACAAATACTGTCCAATGCTTTGATACTGAAACCGGCCAAGGCACAGTCCTAGAACAGTCCTTGCCTGCATCTGACATGTGTGTTAGTGCAGCAGTGTTGAATAATTACATTTATGTGGTTGGATTAGAGGGTTCCTTCAAATTCCACCCAGACAACAAAACTTGGGATGTTTTGCCGGACATGTCATGTCCAAGAGACTTTGTAAGTCTGACAGTTCTGGATGAGAAACTGTATGCTTTTGGGGGGAGAAGAAGAGGGGCACAGTCAGATTTATATACTGACATCATTGAGTATTTTGATCCTGAGAAAAATGTCTGGGAAAGGTGTGGGACTATTCCTGTTCCAATGTATTCCTATGGATGTGTCCGTGTCATTCTTGGAGAAAATTATTTAAATGCAGGCACCAGCAACCTCGCCAACAGCTGAATCTGACAGAATGTGTGTATTTCAAAAAAAAAAAATATTAGGGTGCTTCGTGAAATAACATGCAGGCCATCTCTTGCTTTATTTCTAGACACAAGTATTTTACATAAGTTAAACATGTTGCATTGAAGCTTCGTACTTGGGAAGGATTAGATAACACTTTTGTTATTTGTTGGCAGAATGGTAGATGTGGTACTGTGGAATCATTTTAATTCATGGGGGTCAATGTTCGTGGGCAAGCAAAATTTTATTGTTCGTGGGGACGTAATTTTGTGGGTTACTTGTTTATATGGTAGATTCAATGAATCAATATGTTTACAAATTAAACTTTGTGGGGATGTAAATTCATGGGTAATGGTGACCCATGAAATCCACAGACATTGGTCCCCCCACGAACAATGAAGCTTCCACAGTATGTTTTTTTTTTGGGGGGGGGGGGGGAGTTAAAATTCAATGCGATACATGTGTATGTGCATTATTACAGATATTAATTTTTCCATATAGAAATTGATCAGACCACATTATATACAGAGTAGGTAGCTGTATGCTATTATTCTAAGAAAAAATATGTAGTCACAGACTCACTGTATATTTGCTTAAATATTTTCATGAAGATGTTGTCTCAAACATGTCAAACTTCTTAAAAATATAAGAAGGGGATAATTTTGTAATTTTTATCACTGTCTCTCTTAAAGTAGATCTAGTGTATTGAATATAATTTCATAAAAAATTATATAGTGTTGAATATACTTTTATTAGTGTTATCCATAATATTGTTAATTTTTTACATTATTTTTTTTTCATTTTGTTCAATTATACTGTGTTCAGTAATTAAAGTCCATTGATTGAGTCATAAATGTTGAGTCATGAATATTGCATGTGAAATCTATGGGCTTAAACAAATGATGCCAGTATTTGTTGCTTTTTTTTTTTTTTTTTTACAACTAAACTAAGTTTACAACTAATAAAAATGTTAAAGGAGTAAAGAACTAGTGTGTGAAAAAAGATGTGTTAATTTGCATTTTACATGCTGTTGAATTTACAGTAACTCTTACAATTATGCTTGTTTAGACTCCAATATTATTGTGTACAACTGCAAAATGTTTTTTTTTTCATACTGTGGCTTATTCCTAATTTTTGATGACCAAAAAAAAAAAAAAAAAAAAAAAAAAAATAGAATAGACTAGCATTAAATGTTAACATTATATTTACCTTTACATAGGTCACATACTTATATTTTTAAACTTGATTTTAATGAAATTTTATACATGTACTTAATGCTTACAAAGCTTTGACTTTTCATTTATTCTTTATGTACATGTAAGTGGTGGGAGATCAATGACCCTGTCTTTTTCAGGAATTTTGACACACAATTTAAAGCAATATGAGCTGCATTTTTTGAGAATTTTATTATGCTTTAAAATGTACTATTATGATAATTCTGCCTGTAACATAAATCTTGTGAGACTAAAACTAAGCGTTAAGTTTTATATATGAAAAGAAAAAAATTGTACTGTGGAATGTATAATATTGAATTAGGAATTGATTTTTGTAATGGATGACAATATTTGCAATTTTGCTTTGAATAGAGCTTCTAATTAGTTTTCCCAAAGCAGATACGTAAAACAGAAGCATTTTTTTTCTGTCACTGAAATTATAGTATGGATATTAATTTATAATTTTGAAGTAAAAAATTTAAAGACACAAAAAACTGCTGCAGCCTCATATTGTTTTTAGAACTTAAAATAGTTTACTAGTATTTGTGAAATGTACACTTATACAGTAATACACTTTTGTATTAATAAATCTTGGTTAAAAAGAAGCAAAAAATTAACAGCATCCAAAATAATTTGAACACTATTTATGAATATTTGGAAAGGTTTTATACAAGAAGTTCTCGGTGATTTCCGTGTAGGCAAGGTTGAGTAAATGTTGACACAACATTTCATGAAAGCCATGCAGCTTGAATTTTAGATAAGTTGAACCATTTTTGCAATCGCCTGTGATGTTTTTGAATAACTATTATGTCCGGTGCATGAGAAGTTGAACAGATTTTTGCACCTAAAAGATACCATGCCTTACTGAAATCCAAAGAGGTCTAGTTTTAACCTTATTAATGCAAGAACACCATCTGAATAAAATGCCTGTCCCAATCCACTGTATCGCGGCTAGTACTAAGTCTAGGGTAGCAGGAAGCGTTAAAGATCGTCCAAAAAGCGGGCACCTTCGGGGGGCAACTGTGGACAGAGAGATCCGCTTAATCCACCGACGGAACAGGTTTCAAACTTTGAGTGAAACTGTTAGTAACATTCCTGGATGCTGCAATGTCAGAATTAGAGAGAAAACAGTACTCATAGTTTCATTGAGACAGGTCTCAAAACACGCAGGCCATCCTTTTACAAGTACGTTCCACGTGAAAAGACCGCACGTTGCAAAGTTATGTAGAGATTTCCAAGTGTCCAACGTACGCACACAGAAAGGTTACAATTTAGTCCCTAATTGTCTCTATTTGAGCAATTATGGGACGAAATGGATCGACGAGTTTAATTGATTTTCATATCCGATTTGAAACGCAAACAATGAGCTGAGGTAAGGACTTCTTAAGGAGTGAAAACTCATCCCTATTCGAAGAATCAACCATCTGATCAATTTTATGCTCAAAATGATACCAGCTGCTGTAAATGCGGGATGAGGACCCACGCGATATTGACTTATGGAATTTTAAATTCTGACCCCTACTCCATGGGCGATGGAAAGGGGAAAAAAAAGACGGTTCTGCAAAACAAACAACTACCAGGTAATTTGCAAAAATATGCTGAAATACAAAAGAAACAGCTGAATTAAATTAAAATCAACAGACTCCGTTACAAAATTAACGATCACTGATGCAAAAATAACAGTCGTATACTGAATTAGATATCGCACAAAAAAGTCATAATCTGAATTAACACTGGATGGCGCTCGAGTCTGTAAATTTTGGAATTCCAAAGGCTTCAACTCTGTAATTTCTTAAGGAGATGGGTGAACAAGGCGTGCCTATAGCTTCAGATATGTTAAATTCATATTCAATTTGTGTATTTAGTATTTAGAGTGAAGTTCTTTTTATTGCAATTTATGAAATTATGATAAACAAAACTTCTCTGAAGAAAATTTTCTCGGCAAAAAATTATGGTATAAAAAAAATAATGTGGTATTCGTGGGGTTCGAACCGTAGCAATAAAAATCCTGTGTATCATTTTCCTTTTAGACTAACGCGCTAACCACTACGCTACACAGCTCCTGATGAATAGTGGCATTTAATTTTTAAATCATGCTTGTGATATGACCCTTGACTAAATGGACTCCAAGTATTTCTCGGAAAATGCAAATGTTGTGTCATAAAAGTGTATTTTTAAGGTATAGTTGGTCTTGGCTCCATGTTTTTATTAACCAAAAAATGTATCTTTTTTTCGCAAACTTTGAGGATAAACTTTCTAAAAAATGGAGCGAAGACCCACTCATATCGAAAAATTGTGTTATAGTATGAGAAAATGATCCTTTTTGCCCTCTTTAGAGTGTGTGTACTATTTCATAGGCAAATAATTTCAATCTTTGTGAGATTTTTGCAAATTGTGGAGGTTTTACATAAAGTATACTTTAATTTAAGATGAAATATCAAAAAAAAAAATTGTCACAATTGAGATTTAATTTTTCTCCTTCATGTTTGTCGGACTCTATAGGCACTTCGCTCGCCTTTTCGCCCGTCATCTTTATTGATTGTTAACTTTAACGGATGTTAGGGTTAACACTGCTTTAGTATAGTAAACTTCAAACAGGCGAATCAAATCAAAGCGATTCCGGACAAATATAGTCAAACTTTACTTGTACTCATTGGGCTATCATTTTCGGGGTGTGAGCATGTGAGCACGTCCTCTTGACAGAAGGAGTGGAGATGACTTAGGTTGGCTGAAATTAATTCTAAGTTTCACGTCACCTTGAAACTTCAAAACCTATGAGGGAGGAAGGAAAAAATTAAACAAACAAAAATTTCAAACAAATGAGTATTTACTCATTTACATGAATCAAACTGATATAACTATATTTGAACATCATGTAAGCTAATTGCTTAATTTTTAGTAAATTTGTCAGTATAAATGAAAGACACGTCTCAAATTACCTTCATACTATGGAGGGTAATCGTGTTCAAAAATCCAGACTTGTAGGTACACTACGGTCAACGCGGATCCCGTATTTTCCCGCGCCCCCGCGATGGTGTTTTAATCCTTTCCGCGATACACCGTCGCGGTTTTATCATCGCGGTGATCGCGGGGACACGAGATTACCGTGACGGTGTGCTCTACAGTATTTTACTCAATGTGAAGTCGATAATCCTTAATGTCAAAGTAAAGATATTAAATTGTGAATATATAAGATCGTTTTTTTAAAATGTGGCTTAAACATGTTAAAGTCATAGTGGCATATTTTTGATATATATCTTTAAAATTCCAGAAATAATTTATAAAAAAAAATTTCAGTCTAAAGGGTGATATTTGAATGATACTTGGCGTTTATTCTATCAAAATACTATCATTGTTGTAGTTTATAATAAGTAAGCTGAATTATATTGTGGAGATCTATAACTCAACATAATTTTTTTTTTGTAGTAAATATCGATTCGATTTATATAACGCCCTTTTTTTCATCATTACAGTTTTTTTATACAGTATTACGGCAGTTGGTTTTTTTTTTCGAATTGAAAATTGCAATGTATATATAACTGAAAAGAAAAATGAAGACACATAATTTCACGCCAAAATACCTCTTCCAACATATTCAAATATTATTTACAATAATCCCGAATATTTGAATTTACGATATTGATCACCACCTCATTTATTAGACCTATGGGCCTGAATGAAAAAATGGATAACAGCTCTGTTCATCATTCTAAAAGAAGTCAACAATAGTCATTTTTATAAAGCTAAAAGAATTAAATGGTTGCGTTCTCAGCTGATAATTAAGCAGAGAAGTCATGAACTAAATATGTTGAAACTGTCCAAACACGTGTACATGTATTACACAATCACAGCGTGTGCAGTGGGGCGTATCTAATCTTATCCACAATAAGACTATGGGTTCTAGGAAAATTCACGAGATGATCAAGCCCTTTTAGGATAACCGTGTTTTCAAGTCGTAAAAATTGCATGTATTACATGACCATATTTCAGTAGCCGGTCTTGACACCTTGATCACCCATCATACATGTACTGTAGGTTATATCAACTGATCAAACGCAATCCTGAAATCACAAAAATATCGTTATACTCTTATAAAGAATTAAAAAATAAATAACACTAAAAGTCTTTTTTATTGGTCGGCGATCTTGAAAAACTTGGAACTGTTAGAGTAATTATTGAAACCAAAGAGAAAGGTTTCACAAAACAGAAACTTTAAAATCATTTACGGGAGTGGGTGTTAAATTATACACTGTAATTTTGGGTAGAGAAACATGAGGATAAGTTTGTGTGGGAGGGGGGTTTCAGAATAAAAATCTAAAATAAACGACGAGGGACATTTCAGGAAACTTGTCTGTATGTATATGTTTACACTATACTGTATATATTTATTTAATCAACACACTTCATGAATGTCCAAAATAAACATAGCATATATATCTTTAGAAAATAATCAATAAATATGAACAGTACGTCTCATTAAAACCAGCCCCCCCCCCTTCTCCTATCGTCGTCGATTTTTGAATATGAGATACTTATTAAATTTATTTTTCTATGTAATATTAATGCATAAAACTTGCTGTTTGTTTAAAGCTTTCAAATTCTGGAGGAATTCTGAATGAAATTTCATTTTTCTAATAGTTCCTGAGAATTTAATATTGTATTGAATCAATGGAAAATGTTGTATAAAATAATTTGCTACTTATAAAATGGACAAATTATTTCATAGTTTGCGATGTATTTCAAGTTTTACGAAGCAGATTCCTATTCCATATGAATGCAAAATTTTGCATGTCCAGGTATACAATACAGGTAAATCACAACTTTAAGAAATCTAATCTATTGTTGTGGAGACGTATGTGTATATCTATTACATAACACTTCCTGTCTGTGTCAGTGCCAAGGTTCTGACTGTGCGTACTACAAACTCGAACCTAGCCCGGGGACACATAGAACCTTCTATTCCAATTGTATTTTATCAGTGTAAAGTAAATTAAATTTCAAAATCGAATGTTGCATATTTGCACATGCTGTAAGATCCTCTGAGCTATTAATAACGTTTTTTGCCTGTAATTGAAGGTAAATAAATTTAAAAAACAACAACAACAACAACAACGTAAATTCAGGAAGGGGTATCACATGCATGAAGATAATGTGTGATGCCCAGAGCATGGGAAGTCAGTCACTAGGTTAACCGTCACTAGAAAACAATCAACGAATGAAATCTTTAACTTTGAATCAGTAAACTGTTTTAAATTTTTGAATTATCAGTTGATTATGGACCGAAAATTAATTCAATTTTTAAATCAAAATAGGGTGAAGCTTGCTATTTACGAATAAACATGTATCTAAAGTAAATTAAAGTTTGAATGATAATATTTATAGACAGGATATATTTTTTAAATCATATTTTACAGCCGAATCATAGTTTGTTTGTAAAACCTGGATAAATACCGTACAAAGCGCACTAGATTGGAAGTCATGAAAAAGAGTCTAGTATTATAATACATGTACGTTCATACGTACTTTCTCAAGTTTAAAATTTTCAAGGAAACTTGAATTATTAATAAGGAATACAGAAAAAATATCTATTCCTTTGAAGATTTTATTCTGAGCGGCTTTTTTTTTAAAAATATTGCCACTATTTTACTTATTTAAAATGGTTAAATGACGGAAAAGCTGTTTTCAATTGACAATTAAATCATTGAGTTATCGGATGATCAATAACTGTGATCTACAAAATTAATGCATATGTATAATTACGAATAAGTTAAGAACAATAAATGAACACACAATATATATATCTAGTTGTCTCCATATCATGCATTCTTTCTTTCCTTTTCTTTTTTTTTTTTTTAATTTTTGAAAGAGGTGTGAAATAAGTAAAAAAATAAATTAATCAAATATAAAAAGGGAGACCTAAATAACTGCTAAGACTGGTTTTATCCTTTTATTTATTTATTTTTTTTTTTACTCCATTCTTGTTCTGTTGTGTTTTTTCCCGTCGGGGGAGGTAACTCGCGTTCATGAAGAGAATAATTTTTTACCTGAGACGGATAACACAAACCGCGATGGTGTGGATTAGTGAGGACCCGTACCGCGAGAACACGCGGTTTTACCTGAGTTAGTCAGAGTTACCTGTGTTAAACCGCGATCAATTTCACACCGCGAGGACTCGCGGTAAATACGGAAACCGCGTTGACTGTAGTGTAGTTTGTAAATCCAAATTTGTAAGTTTGTAAATCCAAGTCTGCAAATTTCGGGGGGGGGGGGGGGTCCGGACCCCCTTCTAGATCCTCGCCTTCAAGAAGTAAAAATTAAAATAAAAAATGAAGAATTTAATTTGGAAAACAAAAAGTTGGAATAAAAAAGAAAATAAGACCATTAAAAATAATTGTGGCACTGATGCCCCTCCATAGGTTCTCAATATCAAAATTCGACAAACGTGTAGACTTTACATTTGTAGACTTGTCAATTGTCTTTGTGTTTTAAAATTCAGAGCGCGGAAATATAAATTCCGGAAAACAAAGTTTACAACATCAAAAATACACACATTCATAGTATAAACTCAAAGTCAACACAGTTGTATGTTCGGAACTACATGCTAGGATGTCGGAATTACCTACTTACATATGTATACTATGAAACTGATACGATTACAAGTTTGGATTTACAAACTTACAAGTTTGGATTTAGAAACTTACAAGTCTGGGGCCCGTTTTACAAAAGAACTTACGACTAAGCCATAAACTTAAGTTGATTGTAAAATTTTGCAAAATTAATTATTCTTTTTAAATTTTCTAGCATATAAGTATCTTTTTTCAATTTATTTTAAAAATATTAAAACCATTTTTAAATTAATGTAAAAGAGAAAGTAATGAGCAGAATTAAATTTCAGCCTTAGTCGTAAGTTCTTTAGTAAAACGGGCCGCTGGATTTTTGAATACGATTACCCTCCATATCATACAGGGTCCAAATGTTAATTGTCTTTTCCTATGGAATGCAATTTTTAGTTGCTAAAAATTTAAACTTAAAAATACCGATTTGTTAATATTTTCAAAGTGCAAATTTCTCCAAAACCTTTACGCGCGCGGGTGACGTTAGACGTAGAATAGACTTTGGACAACCTTACTGACCTCCTGATGTAAGGTTCATATTGTCCGTCGATCGACTGATGCAAATCAAAGTCTTATGCCCTGTTCACACAGAGAGTTTAATTCGCAGTAGCTTTACGTTTAATTCGAATTAAACTCTCCGTGTGAACAGGGTATTAGATCGATCGAGGTACCCTTCTTGTAGTTTGGGGGACCTTTGCTAGCTCATCCTATTTACTATATATGCCATATAAGATATGGCTGTCCAATGGACGATAATAGAAGTGAAGCAATATTTATTTAACGAGGTTGGATCCTGATATTTAAAGTCTTAAACTTTTTTTGTCAAGTATATTTTTAGTTTCTTCACACATAGCTTAATTAAAAATCAAAACAAAAAATGGGTGTCAATATTCTTCTTTTGGCGCTACAGTACATTTAATATGACCTTTTTGCACTGAAATTTGTGTCTTAATCAAAAATCACATCTTCGACATTTTCCCTTTAATGTTTTTATCCAAATAAATCATGGGACAAAATAAACTATTGGTCTACTTAAAAAAAGACACTTTAAAATTGTGACTAAGATAAAGTTTCAAATTGCTTCGCATAATCAATTATTTGACCTTTCTGCACTCAAAAAGTGTGATTTCCCTGGCATTAAAAATTTAACAAGCAAGAAAATTATTTTAAAGTCTTAAACTTTTGCTGAATTTAGGCAAATTGATTAAAGTTATCTTATATATTCAGAAAAGAAAAACAAAAGTGGGAGTCTATGATATAAATTTTCAGATATTACTAAAAAAAGTGTTAATTTTATGTTAAAATTGGCTAAATTTTTTCCTGGACTTTCAGAATATATTAACTATATTTGTCACAATATAATGAAAGAATTCATAAGAAATAATTTAACAGATATTTCAGAACCAGAACAAAACATTTCACTGCAAAAAACAGCTCTGTGTGCAACCAGCATGGAAAAATAGGAATCTAAACTTAACAGTACTGTATATATTTCAAAAGGGAAATATTGATCATTTTCTCCTAAAAAACCTTCCGCCACAAAATATAGTTCCTGGCTTAAACCTATTTGAATGGAATTTAATCGCGGTTTTTTCATTGGATATGGTTTAATTTGCATTGTAGAATCTAGATTTAATGTTTGAACTTAAAAATGATGCAGAATTTTATAAATAAAGGTCCAGACCAAAATCTCCTCAAAAGCTCAGGATCGAACCTCCTTAAGGAGGCTGGGGGTCAACAAATTAACCACAAATTAACCACCAGATTTAATAGCGATTCTCTGTAACCACTTAAACTTCTTTGCCACGCATGGTCACCGATTTTGATGAAACTTTGCCCATTATTACAACTTGACACCAGAAACTTATATCAAATAAAATTTCGTTGCTATGTGTCTTGGTTGCCATGGTAACAGCCAGAAAAGTTGGAAAAATTGAGATTTTCAGCTAATTTAAATATTTATTGAGCCTTAATAAAGACTAAGAAAAACAAACAAACCATTCTCCCAAAAACATGACACCTTGTTGCCACTTATGCTATAAAGAAACTATTTAGAATTTATCTCTAAGTAAGTGGTAACCATGGGTACATTTGGAATACATTTTAGATGCTGAAAAATGCTGAAAAACGCTCTATAGTCACAAATGATAGATGTAACTTGATCAAACTCGATCAACAACGTAAGAAAAACAATGAAAAATATTTGACCTCATGTAATTAGGTATTGGCAATATTATTCTAAAAATAACTTTCATGGTTGCCATGGTAACGCAGTGTCACCATGCAAAATCTGTTGCTATGATTGGGTTAATGCTACTATCGTGAGGAAAAACAATAAAATTCATGACTGGCACATATGCATCGTTAGGACCTTGCAACACCGACAACATAAGAAAAATTGAGATTAATTATTACTTTGCAGTGTAACCATGGAAACAACGTACTACTTGTTTAAAGTGATATTTTTTTGCTGCTTTAGGAATTTACTAACCTTTTAATCAAGAAAAATATTATTTGAATCACCTTGAATAGTACTTATCTCATAGAACTAAAGTTGAATATCATATATTGATAAAGGTTGTTGAAAAATACAACACTGTTGCTATGGTTACCAATAAGAGAAAATGTTCGATTTTGTTAATTTTTTGTCAATATTAGATCCTATGTGCCAGCTTTTTGCATCCAGTTAGAGATTGGGTGATAGTTAAAATTGAAAGTCAGGTTAGTTGTTCACATATATCGATCATTAAAGTTTTGGGAATCTACATACAACGGTACGTATCCAAGGAAACTGAGTATTTTTCAGATTTTTATGCATGTTTTTTTCACCTTATTTCCATAGCAACGCACTATTTAACGAATTGAAATTGAAATTTTTGAAATGGGAAAATTAGGGTCACACCAAGGCCTTTAAAAATTGATCATCAGTTATATAGAAATATTCTTTTTAAAAAGATAGGATAAGATTAAAACACTAAGAGAGTAAATTTAAAATCCCTTCGTGGTATTAAAACCATGGCAACCATTGCCAACCTATAAGAAATGTCATATTTTGTCCTTGGTATATGTTACAAGGATCTCTTCTCTATTATTTGCTTGTATTTCAACCTATAATTGTTTTTATTCTTAAGTGTATGACTTTATAAAATTAAATGAACAAAATTATTACTTTTGAATACTTTGGTTCCATAGTAACGTATATTATAGATGATTTACCAAACATGTTCATCATGCATTTAAGACACCAGGCCTTCAACTTTCTGAAACAGTCATTGCCACTTGTTTGCTTTGCTGCAAACGTTAACTGTGGGACTCTGAAGATGTTGAAAAATGCCATTTTTCAAACTTTAGGACATGTTGCTATGGTAACCATGACACGTAGCAACCAATTTTTGCCTGATTTGAGTTTACGGTATCAAAGACTTCTATCATAGAAAGTTTGGAGAAATTCTGAGACTATGCGTGCCACAGCTCCTATATAAAAGTTCAAGTCATTACAGAGAATGGCTCTTAACTTAATTTTTTAGATATGATATCTTAAGCTGTCAACTATCATTTGGCAAAGAAAAAATTCAAAAATTTTAGTTTTAAAATTTGATCATTTTCTATATCTTCATATGGAGCTCTTCTTCTAAAGGAGATCAATACAGTCTAAAAATGGCCACAACCCCCCAGCCTCTTTAAAGATGGGAATGATAATGGTGACAACAGTATTTACTTATTTGATCACTGAAGTGTGGGATGAAAATAAATCTCTGAAATTTGAGTTGCTTACGAAAAAAGCACAGACCTGTGTAGAAAGGATGCGAACTTTCTTTACAAGTGTGGGTATAATAAAAAAAAAAGTCATCGGGATATAACATATTGCTATCCACCCTTTCAAATGAATAAAATGAATATATGTACTAGTTTGGACCTGAATAAAGGCTTTTCACATGTTATCCCTATAAGTATATTTGATATCAAAACTGAATTTGATTTTTTTTATGTATCTGCTAATTTATTTACGTATTACATTTGAAAATTATTACAAATTGTTTACAAAGAATTCGGAAAGTTAATGAAAGTTTGATCTCCTAACATACCAACTGCACGTATTTCACTAAATGTTCCGACAGATTTGGAAGGCTTGTTATTCCAGATGGTAACTGGTCATTTTTCAAAAGGGTTTCACGAATTTCACATCGACACAATTGTTTCAGTTTGCGGGGAGACTTATAGTATTCACTTGGCAAGTATCTTGCAGCACTCTCTCGTATGAAATAAACATGCGGAGATTTTTGTTTAAGATGCGCCACAGTTTGACCATCAAAATTGAGCTGAAGTGTTTTGATTGTCCGTAGAAGATATTCTAAGCATTTTTCTAGTAGTTCCATTGGATTTTCGGAAATGCCTTGCCCAGTTGCTTCCTCGATTATTTGTTGTGATCCAAGATTTCGAAGTACGTGCTCGAGAGGTTTTCCATGTGGTGTTGCACCATGTTGTAGCAAAAGCAAAACAACATTTGGTTTCAAATTTTCACACGCCAAAGTGAGACATTGAGTTCCAATATGGTTATCTGACGAGGTGTTGCCCGTCATTAAGAGCGTTGGGTGCCCTATAGGTATATCAAGATAGTAAGCTTGGTTTTCTTCTATAAGTTCTTTATACACGACACGAGCCGGGCCTTTAAATAATTTATCTCCTAACTTATTGTCTTTGAAATCCACTACAAAACCAGCAGCTGCTTTGATAACATAGTAAGCCTTGTCTAGTGTTTCGTTGGAAATAGACAAGTCATCATAATACATGAAATCTCTCATGAATAGACCCATGTCTATTCCTCGACTGTACTGAAGAAGTTCCAGTAAGAATCTTCGAAGTGGCTTCTTGTCGTTGACTTTTAACTGGAAGCATAATCCGAGGCCTAAGTGAAGGGATAACCAGCAATATTGTACTTCTTTAGGGTTCATGTTGTGTGAACGCGTGTATGCCATGATATCGTTAAGGGCCTGATCCAAAGTAATTTCTCCTCTGTTGATCATATCATAGTACTTAAACCCTATCAGTTCACACTTGCCTTCTAATGTTCCATATCCTGTTGCAGTCTTTTTGGTAAGTGTTGCAAACGAGTTTTCCACCTTTTTCTTAGAAATTCCTATACCCATTTTATGATTAAATGCCGGTGGTGTTCCAAGTTAAAATGATGAATTCTACCACACTTCAATATTGACTCTAACAGAGTGTTTCTATGGAATTTTGATGTTTTTCTTGACGTAACAATATTACATTTCTCATTGTGACGTCATTATTTTTGTCTACAGAAACAGTCACGATTTACTTCGTGTTTCTTATATTCTAAGCACAACAGACACCTTGAGCAAAACCCGCCGAGTTTTTTGTTGGAAATTAATAAAAGGATAATGTTTATAATTAAGCAGAAGTATATTAGTCATGATTCCTTCAAGCAGTCAAGTTAGTCAAGTAATTTTATTTATAGTCGACATATATATAAACAGTATAACAGAAAAACAAAGCATACTCGTTTTGGAGACTGGAAGTTTGAGATTCTAGCTACACGTTTGTTTGTTGTTATTGTTTTATTTTATTGTTTTTTTTTTTTTAATTTACCATTTTCAGATATAACATCATTAGGCGAGAGTCCGGGGAAATTTTTTCCTTATTTTAGGTTCTTCATTTATTTCAACTTCCGGGTCATATTGGGATTCCCCTCATCTATCCTGGTAACAAAGTGACTGAAAGTCATGAAAATGAAAATAAAACTAATGTAGGGTGGATCTTTTGCCAAGAACACAGTAAACTGAAAGTTTCTATTCAACTTTATTATACTTCGGTATAAGGTAAGCATTTTTGAATGATTGCTCCACTATAATTTAACCCCGAGGAAATCTAACATCTGCACATGTGTCAGATTGTTACATAACATACAAGCCAAAATACATGTCATGTATTCTACAACAGATGGTGTTAAACTGTAAATAGAATTTATGATGCTGATAAAAAGGCTTCCGGATTGAATGTTAACACCATACATCCATATTTTGCTTCTATTTTCATAAATTCAATAAGGTTTGGGAACAGGCAAAAAATCTTAATCATATTCCCTGTCCTTGCGCTGTTGTATATTAAAGGTGCTTGGACACAGATTTGAAGTTAATATTTCCTCAAATTTTCTGTATAATTTCATGACTTATATGTTGCTATAGCATTTCATACTAAAATACAGCTAAACTTCGAAATCTCGAACACGGATATCTCGAATACCCCGGATATGTCAAAGTAAGGCCACGGTCCCCGACAAAATTTGCTTTATAAATGATTAAAATAAACCCCTCTATGTCGAATGTCTAATACCCCGGTTATCTCGAAGTAAAATTGTGTACCCATTCATTAAAATCACATGCGTTATCTCGAAGTCAGGATAATTTCCCGCTCCGATGATCAAGTCCATTGGGTAAACTGAGCGCTTTATTGATAACAGCCACCTGTGTGTCTCGCACGGGTTACCTGTCTTATTGTGATCAACAGATAATAGCGCGATAATTATACGAGGTGTATGTATGGCTTAACTTGATTTTAATTTTCCAAGCCAAAGGTTGTGTGTATTAGTCTTTTGCATACGCGTGGATGACACGTTAATTGTTTTGTGGCTGGGGTATGTTTATCTTAATAATCGCTATATTTATGCTATGTGTAATATGCGCGCTTGCATAGTTTATGCATATGAAAGCGAAAATTATAAACATCAAAGTGAAACAAAATTCTGTAATTTAATGCAATTAGAATTTATTTTTCTTATATAAGCGTGCAGAATTTACAATCTTTAGTACACACCAACATATGAGCGAGTGTTGCAGTGAAAACGTGCGTTAGTGCCCTGTGATTCAGTGTTGTTATGTAGTTAAACAAAATTGCGTGTTTCTTCTTGTGCATTTGATTATATTATGGTAAAATCTTTTCTTTTAATTGATTATACACGTATGAACATGTTTTTCCAATTAAAAAAAATGTATATTTCGTTTGCGTTATTCTGACAGCGACCGGTTTTAAATTTACAATGCATAGACGATATCCGGTTATGCGTACATGGGAAACGATGCTAGCGGTTGACTTGCCAGGTTATTAAAAGGATTATACAACTGTGCATATTATACAAAGTATTGTTTTGTGAATTAAAAAGAGGACTAAAAATCTTTTTAATGCTAAATACATGTACATGTATATTAAAGAAAACATATACAGAATTTCAAACAAGAAGGAATTTGACATGTTTCTACTATTAAGTGCATGTTCACTGCACGAAGTTTATTTGAAGTTCATTAGAATTATAACCTTCGATATGTCGAACCCCTGGATATCTCGAAGTTCATCAACGGTCCCGTCAACTTCGAGATAACGAAGTTTAACTGTATAATAAAAATCTTATTTCATCTCGAAGTTATTAAAACTTCGAATTTCAGGACGTGTTGGATTGACACATCCTTGCTCTTTCACATATTTTAATTTTATTCTTAATACTTAAGAAAAGTGGCAATTTTGTTGTGTATTAATGAAAAATATTAAAACTATAACCCAGAAAATTCAGAGTAGAAATGTTCGAAAGCAAACCCCACTCACAGTATTGCAAGTTCGTGCTCAGTGGTGTGTGCAGAGTTTAACAATTGAACACACCCGATGAATCGTATACATTAACAATAACAGAGCTCGTGCCCTGTTTACAGAAACAGTTTACGTTTCACGGGACGGTGTGTTCAATTTGTTAAACTCTGTACACATCACAGAGCACGGACTGACAATACTGGTGAGTTGGTTTTGCTTTCGAACATTTCTACTCTGAATTTTCTGGATTATAGATGTAATATTTTTCAAAAAATTGCTTCTTTTCTTAAATATTAAGGATAAAGTTAAAATTTGTGTAAGTGCAAAGATGTGTTAATCAAACGCTTCCCGGAATTCTTAGTTCCAAAATAAATATAATAAATATATTAGGGCGAATGAGATATATATATGGCGATCGAGATATAGGGCGAACGTTACAAGAATAATGGCGAATGGACCCTGAGCGAACGGACTCAAAATTTGTTGACCTTCCTGTGACCTTTGTGTATTCCATAATTTAGAATCAATACTTATTTTTGTAATATGTATGACAACAGTATTTTGCATTGTTTATAGAGATATCAAAAACCAGGTTCCAAACGGGGTCTTAGTCTATCTTATCTCTTTTCATAGTATTTATTGAATTATTTGAACTGAAACATGAACATGATGAATGTAGAAAATTGTTTGGTAAAATATATTTATAAGGCCATTCCAAGTTTTTCCTCTGTTTCGCGTCCACCCATCTTTCAAAAACCTACTTACCTATTTACAAAAACACACAAGCTAAAATTTAGAACACAAACTTTATAGTCAGAAAAAATGACATCATTCAAAGAAATTGATTTTATTAATCTCTTTTTCTTATAGAGAGATATATTCCTTTGCAAAATCAACGTAATAGATGCTTGATATATACCTAAAATGACAGATTTCAGACAAATATAGAAAGAAATTGATAGAATTCAAAGATTTTGACCAAATGTATAAATTTCAGAACTCCTGATTTTGTTTGTTTTTTCTGCTTTGGGGTCTCAAAACCAAGGTGCACATGGACGCTAAACATAGAAAAAACTTGGAATGGCCTATGAAATAAGTAAATTTGTTCTTGATGTAGGGTTTGTATTTATTGAACATTTTAATTGAAACTTGAATGTGGTAAATACTTTAAGTAGTCTCTGTAAATCTTCAGAAAAGATTGATTCATTTCACTCATCTTCTTACTATAACAATCTTACTTACAGAGAAAAAAGAAAAAAAGACTGATAGATTGTGAAACAGAAGTTAGTGATGAAGAAAATACGCTTATCTGACACTGACCTTGAACTCTTTGAACTGGAGATCTCTCCAGGGGATTATACATTCTTCACCAGACACAAAGAGGCTTTCAGGTGTATGTGGAAAGAACAGGTTAGATTTCATAATGATTCAGACAAGCATAAGCACCCCCCCCCCCCCCCCCCCCCAAAAAAAAGTTGCAAAATTGCTAGAGATGTATATAGAAATAGTGAAACTGCAATAATTATAAAAATTTATGAAATGATACTGCAATGAAAAGGCAGCATTTATAAATATCTATTTATGCTTTTAAGCTCACCTCGATGAATTGGAAATGAGCTTATCCTATACCCCTGGTGTTAGCATAAGCATTGGCATCCTAGTTAAAGTTTCAGGAGAAAGTAATTATTAGCCCTACCTAGACCAAACTTGGACAAATGATGTATCTAGAGATGCTCACTAGCAGACTTCATTGGATGTTGGATCTGACTTACATTTTCTGGTTGAGTGACCAGATGAGGTTTTAGAGAAGGTCAATTCCTAATATGCAAAAAGTAACTAGTCCTTTGGTGACCAAATTTCCATAGATGATGCATTCAGAGTTGCAAACTACCAGACTTGCTTCAGATGCTGGATCTGACCTACATTTATTGAAGCAGATTCATTAAAAAAAACTATTAACCCTACCTTGACCAACCTTGCATGGATGATGCATCTAGGTGTGTACACTACAGACTTGCTTCAGATGCTGGATCTGTCCTACATTTTCCAGGTGAATGAACAGGTTAAAGTTTTAGAACTGGCTCATTCCCAAGTAACCATAAGCTCTATTGTGACTAAACTTGCATTTATAGTGCATGTTATGAGGGATGCACACTACATGTAGTAGATATGCTTTGGAAGGTGGATCTGACCTACATTTAAAGGGTTATTGTGCAGTTGAAGTTTTTGGAGCTGGTCTATTTTCAAGACTTAGTATTAATATGTATAGATCCTACTTGGACCAAACTTGTCTAGCTGTTGTATCTATAGGATGCATTTTTAGCTCTTCTGAGCCAAAGGCTCAAAGAGCTAATGCTATGGCCATTTGTGCGGTGTGCGGTGTGCGTAAACTTTTTAGAATATGGGCCATAACTCAAGAACCCCTTGGCCAATTATTGTCAAATTTGTCACAGGGTATCCTTGGCCCAAGGGCTCCCTTTTATACTAAAACTGGGGTTGTGACCCTTTAACAAGGGGAGATAATTAGGAAAATAGAAACAAAAGTACTGGTTGCTAAAAAATCTTCTTCTCAAGAACCACTGGGCAGATTATCACCAAACTTACACAAAAGGATGAGGATATGTTGTAGATTAAAATTTGCACGGGGATTTACCCTGGGGCAAAGGGCGTGGTCTCAAGGTCACTTCAAAGTTGACCAAAAATTACATTTTATTAAAATGTTGATATTTTGCTTACTATAAGGACTAGGATCATCAAATCTTGTCAGTTGGTGCATCTAAGGACCTCATATCATGTTGACTCAAAAGTAGGTCACGGTGACCTACTTTTTAAATTTTGCGGCCATTCTTTTTCAAAATGATTTAGAGGCATATTTTGAACAATTTAAGGCCTATGATCATCAAACTTTGTCAGTTGATGCATCTTGGGTCCTCAAAGTACGTCAACTAAAAAGTAGGTCACCTTGACCTACTTTTTGAATTTTATGGCTAATCTTTTTTAAAACAATTAAGGTCATTAATTCGAATACGGGAAGGCTTAGAATCATTAAATCTTGTAAGATGATGCATCTTGGGGCCATAAAACATATTTATTAAAAAGTAGGTCACAGTGACCTACTTTTTGAACTTTGCAGGCATTCGATTTCAAAGCATTTTAGAGGCATAATTTGGACATTTTAAGTCCTATGATCATAAAACTTTGTAAGTTGATGCATCTTGGGTCCTCAAAAAAGGTCAACTGAAAAGTAGGTCACCGTGACCTACTTTTCAATTTATATGACTATAATTAAATATTTCAGGTACTAATTGGCTTAGAATCATCAAACTTTGTCAGTTGATGCATCTTGGGTCTTCGGAGTAGGTCGACTAAAAAGTAGGTCACAGTGACCTACTTTTGAAAATTTATGGCGTTAATTAAATATTTCGTGTACTAATTGGCTTAGAATCATCAAACTTTGTCAGTTGATGCATCTTGGGTCTTCGGAGTAGGTCGACTAAAAAGTAGGTCACCGTGACCTACTTTTGAAAATTTATGGCGTTAATTAAATATTTCGGATACTAATTGGCTTAGAATCATCAAACTTTGTCAGTTGATGCATCTTGGGTCTTCGGAGTAGGTCGACTAAAAAGTAGGTCACAGTGACCTACTTTTGAAAATTTATGGCGTTAATTAAATATTTCAGGTACTAATTGGCTTAGAATCATCAAACTTTGTCAGTTGATGCATCTTGGGTCTTCAGAGTAGATGGACTAAAAAGTAGGTCACTGTGACCTACTTTTGAAAATTTATGGCTTTAATTAAATATTTCGGGTACTAATTGGCTTAGAATCATCAAACTTTGTCAGTTGATGCGTCATGGGTCTTCGGAGTAGGTAGACTAAAAAGTAGGTCACCGTGACCTACTTTCGGAAAATTTATGGCTTTAATAAAATATTTCGGGTACTAATTGGCTTAGAATTATAAAACTTTGTCAGTTTAGGTGTCATGGGTCCTCGGAGTACAACAACTGAAAAGTAGGTCACCGTGACCTACTTTTGAAAATTTATGGCTTTAATCAAATATTTCGGGTACTAATTGGCTTAGAATCATTAAACTTTGTCAGTTGATGCGTCTTGGGTCCTCGGAGTACAACAACTGAAAAGTAGGTCACGGTGACCTACTTTTGAAATTTTATGGCTGTATTTAATATTTTCAGGAATTATTTGGCTTAGAATCGTCAAAATTTGTCAGTTGATGCATCTTGGGTCTTCGGAGTAGGTTGACTGAAAAGTAGGTCACTGTGACCTACTTTTGAAAATTTATGGCTGTAATTAAATATTTTGGGTACTTATTGGCTAGAATCATCAACTTTTGTCAGTCGATGTATCTTTGGTCCTCGGAGTACAGCAACTGAAAAGTAGGTCACGGTGACCTACTTTTGAAAATTTGTGGCTTTAATTAAATATTACAGGTACTAATTGGCTTAGAATCATCAAACTTTGTCAGTTGATGCATCTTGGGTCCTTGGAGTAAAACAATTGAAAAGTAGGTCACTTTGACCTACTTATAAAATTTTATGATTATAATTTTAAAAAATATTTTAGGTATTAATTGGCTTAGAATCATCAAACTTAGTTGATGGGTCCTCAGAGAATGACAAGTGATAAGTAGGTCACCATGACCAACTCTCAGGTACTAATTGGCTTAGAATCATCTTGGGTTCTCAGAGTGTGAATTGGAATTTCAAGGGTTTATGTAAATATAAAGGATACTTTGAGGCTTCAAATAGAAGTGATAGGTTGTACAGTTTATCAGAAGAGCGATTCAAGGCCCATGGGCCTCTTGTTGTTTGGTGTGAGACTCAGTCTTACTTATAAATAAGTAATGTCTTTGATTAATCTTTGATTATCTATGTTTCTACAGGGGTTGTCCTTCTGGAAAAAGTTTATCATAACATTTAGAAGCTTCACCAATCGACACGGAGCTATAAGAGAAATATCCAATAATTCTGCAAAGTTTGAAGACTTCATCGACCAAGCATTTATTTTTGTTCATGAAAACTTTGTGGAGGGTAAGGATGTATTGCTAATTATTTTATTTACATTTTTTCAAATTTTTAAAGTACTGGTATATAAACTGATAATTTAACTTCAGTTATATCTTGATTGTTTGTAGGAAGGGAGGGGAAAGCGAAGAGCTTCATTGATGATGTAGCAAAATTAGCCCAGAATCGAGACAGGTTTAAAGATCTGGACTCCAAATCTTTTGGTAAATTAGTGTTGTGTGTTTCAAAATATCTGCTATTAAGAGATTTTTCATGGAAGCAGTTAGGGGATTACAGTATTAGGGACCTGCTGTATTATGTTGTGTGTTTATGATTTTAATTGAAATCCTGAATTTTTTATGAGGAATGCTTTTTATAGTCAATATTTTCTGGAAGTTCAAGGTATGTAGGCTGCAGTAATTTATTTTTTGGGTTGAGGAAAAATGAAATAAATTAATACATGCATTAATTTGGACCAAATAGAGTTCTGCACTAAAAGTCATGAAATAAAACCCTTTCTTTGCACAGTGTATAAATAGAAAAAATAGCAACTTCTGTTCTTAATGATGCCAGGAGAAAATTTTACAATATTGCATCATATATATACAGTCAAACCTTGTTATCTTGAATTTGATGGGACCGAGAAAAAACTTCGAGATATCCGAGGATTCGAGATATAGAGGGTAAAATATTATAAAGAATAAGTGGTTAGAACTTCCAAATCACTTCGACATATCCATGGTATTTGAGATATCAGTGTTCAAGATATCGAAGTTTAACTGTATAATGCTCCTAAATATAAACATTCTTGCTGCTTCTTTTACTGATTGTATATCAGTCTTCAGAAAGGTCAAATGACTTTCCAGTTTTCTAATTGCTGCTCACTGGTTGTTTTTTTTTTTCAATTTAAATATAAAAAGGCAGCTTGCATTGTTACTAAGTACTACAAAAAGTGGTTTGATTAAAAATAAGCATTTATTTTTTGATCTACTACTAAAAGAAGGAGCTATACTGTTACAGTAAAACTCATTGACTACAAACACGGTTATAGTGAATTTACAGACAGTGAAGTTTTTTGCAATCCTGTCAAAATTCTTAACGATTCCTTGTAAAATTTTACGATATAACAAACTCGGATATAACAAAGTTACGGATATAGCGAACTGATTTTGTGTCCCGTAGAAGTTCAAAATAACAAAATTTACATCTTTTATAGCAAATTTACAAAGATCTCAATTTTTATGCCCCTGCCATAAAATGGTTGGGCGTAATATAGTGTTTCTCTGTTAGTGTTAACCATCATTCTGTCATTTTTTCATTCAGTCATCATTGACTCTCCATTCATTATCTCGGCAACAATAGCACACATTCAACTCAAATTTGACATATGGATACCTCATAGGAAAAAGCAGGTCAAATCTGTATTTCGTCATGGTCCAATGATTTTTGACAGAGTAATCCCTTGAATTTGGAAAAAAATAAGAAATTTTCAGTTTCCGTGCTCTAACTTTTGTAGGGATGTATGTATAAGATTGAAACTGCATGTGCAGGTATTTTACCAGAAAGTACAGTTCAAGTTTGAATTTGGTCATGGTCCGATGACTTTTTGACAGAGTTATCTCTCGTGAACTTAGAAAAAAGTAAGAAATTTTCAGTTTCTGCTCTCTTACTTTTGTAGGGATGTATGTATAAGGTTGAAATTGCATGTGCAGGTATTTTACCAGAAAATAAGGGCCAAGTTTGAATTTGGTCTTGGTCCAATGATTTTTGACAGTTACTCCCCTTGAACTTGGAAAAGATTTAAAAATTAATCTTTATCTCGGCTACAAATGTGCAATTTAAAATTTGCAATTTGAAATTTTGGCTGCCTGTGGGGGCATTTGTGGCGTTATGACAAATCTAGTTACAATTGAACTGACATTAATTTTGTAAGTATTTATATTTGAAATGCAATTCATCCAAGAACTTCAGAACTCCAAGATAAATTTTGTATTTTAAATTTCCCTGAATACATTTTGTAGTCATACTTGAATGCAAAAATCTATATTGCAAATTCACTTTGAATACTTTAAGGAATTTGTTATATGGATATAACAAATTACGGATATTGTGAGGTAAATTTCCAGGTCCTCAGAACTTTGCTATAACTGAGTTTTACTCATGTTAATGTAGATGTTCATATATGAACATTGAATTCTTTATCTTTAGTTTGTGATTTAAAAATTAATACAACCATATAATTTTCACAAAATTATGGCTATATGAATGGTAACTTACAAAAGCAAGTAATCATTTTTTTTCTCTTATAGTAAATTAACAGCCTATGTGCCTTTAAGATTTAAATGTTTTATGATATTCTTATAGCATTGCCTAATTCAGGAATGTTGTTTACTTAACATAAATTTATTCTCAAGCAATATTGTTTGAAGGGAGTATATAATAACAACTGATTAATATTTGTGAATGGGTGCATATTTGTAACATCCTATACTCCCATTTTGGTGCCCTTATAACAAAATCATTTTTAAACACTTAGTACAGTTGCATAATTATGAAAACTTATTTTTTCTCAATTTTAGCCAAGGACCCATTTTACATGAGAGACACAAGGTAACACAAAGAAAATTTTTAAACAGCTTTGAAAATAAAAAAAAAAAAGAATTTCTGTGAGGCAGAGCTGTTGAAATTGTTTTTAACAATTTTATTTTAGGGACCTATTTAGACGATTCTTTGGTCCACCAGATCAGAAGGCATCATATTTAAAGGTCAGTCCTCAGAAAGTCAGAATTGGTTTTTATTTGGTATACTCAATATTTTCTGCAGTATACTGTCAAACCTCATTATCTCAAACTCAACGATGCCAAGAAAAAAAAACATATATATATATATATCCTAGTATGATTCAAGACATTGAAGTTGCATGTAAAATACATAAAGAAAAAGGAGTTGGGACTACCAAATTACTTTAACATTATATCCATGGTGAGATATTGATGTTCGAGATACTGAAGTTTAGCTGTATATGCAGATGTAATGTGCAATATATGAAAAATATCTGATTCTTTTTTCATTATAAGGAAAATAGAGGGTTGGGAAGTAACAGTCAACAAGATTTTACGTGTCTCTATGTTTTGGTCTTTACTTGTAGGTGTATGTAGTTAGCCCAATATATTTACGATTTGGAGGATCAGTATGTCGGTGTCTGAGACGTTGGCTAGATGCTCCCTCCATGGAAGAGGGGGATGAATCATATTGGATACCTCCTGAAAACCTAACTTATGGTAAAGAAAAGCCTCGGAGCACTGTGGTTATGTGCAAACCTTGTCTGGATGACTGTAGTACAAAATATTTCCGAGAAAAATTAACTGGCAAAAGAAATGGGCCAATCTTTATAGACTATTGGACACTAGGAGACCCACGTTTTAATGACGAAAATAATCCTTTGTATGCCCCATTGTCCAATGAGTTTTCAGATTGGAGAGATTCTCTTTCTGTGGAGAAGTTCCGTGACTTTTTGCATTATGCCAAATTCAAATATGGCACGGAATCCAACAAATGCCAGGAATGCTTGGACTTGAGCAGGAAGAGAGAGGACCCAATGGACAGTATTTCTGTGGCAGACTGCAGGTCCGAGGGTCAGAAAAAGAAAAAACGCAAAAAGAAGAGCAAGGTTAAACCTACAACTGACAACATGGATAATGATATTGATGACCTTGTAGCACACATAGAGGGAGGAAAACAACTAGACCAAATGCCAGTTTCCACATTTGCTGGGGCTAAAGTTCCAGACACTGTTATACCCATTAAAAAAGATGATGATAAGTTTCAAAACAAACTTGTAAGTAATAAAAAGAAAAAAATCTATGCTGAAAGAACCAAGATTATGGAGGGGTTTAAGTCTGACATACTGCAAGCTAATGATGACCTACCAAGGAACAGTCGCTTAGAAAATTTTAACGTGGTGCGTACTCAAGATGATGTAACAGGATCGAGCGAGCTGACAATATCCATCAAAGCTATCAAGGTATGGTAAAGTGTTTTTGCATTATGCATTACAGACATTTATTTCAGATTTTAAAATAATTTGCATAAACTTTAAAGTAAACTTCAGTGAAAGAAATTGAAAGAACTCTTATAGATTTTTGTGTGTGTAACTCTCTAGAAAAAATTAGGTACATGTATGATTTCTCTTCAAGCTTCATACAATTATAATAGTTTTTTACTTATGTCCAAACATTATTATTACGAATTTTTTTTTTCATTTCATTGTTGAATTTTTAAGCTGTCATATTTAAATTCCAGTTATTGTGCATGATGCTGTTTGCCTTTTTTAATGAAGTTGTCTCTGTTAGGGTGAAGAGGGCAGATCACCCCGGCCAAAGATGACAAGATACCAGAATTCCTATCCGTTGACAGGGCAGATGATCCGTAGTCATCTGGAAAATCTCCCCGAGAGGTTGGAGTGGTATGAAGGGGATTGCTGGTGTGCCTGTGTATTGAACTACTCGATAGAGGAAAAAGAGAACCCTACAGACTTCACTATCAAAGTTTCGGGACCAGATGAGGACACAACCAAGAGAACCATGTTTAAATGTAAATTATATCTCGACTCTTACCATTAAAAAGTTTTAAAGTCTTAGGATAATTTGCTTACTGTATGTGTACATAAATTGGCTTATTCAAAATTTAGCGCAATCACTGGGTATGGAGTTATTTTCAAAATCTTGAATTAGCGCTATACATGTTCATGCCATATATTTTACTTATAAATGATTTCTCAGCGGTATTCATGAATTAGGGCATCATTGTCAATGCGGCTAAAATATGAAGCCGACTTTTTTAAGTACATATACAGTATTTCCAGGTTAAATAGAACAAAGGCGAATTGTTTCTGTTCTGCTGTATTTGTTTTCCTTTACCCAAACTTTGGCTGTTAGCATAAAATAACAGAGAGAAAAACTCCTATCACCAAAATATAGGCCATGGTCATACTTAAATGTCAAAGGTCAATTGCTTCAGTTCTGGGTGGGAAAAATTCCTAAAAATTAAAACTGGTTACGTTTATTGGATAATGTGTTAAATATATTGAAGATTCATGGTGACTAAATATACAGTCAAACCTTGTTTCCTCGAACTCGATTGGACCGAGGAAAGACTTCAAGATATCCAAGGATTCGAGATATCGGGTAAAATACTTAAAGAATAAGGGGTTGGGACTTCCAAATCACTTTGACATATCCATGGTATTCGAGATATCAGTGTTCGAGATATCGAAGTTCATTGTATATTCAAAATGAGATAATTTTCTCTCAATTTTATGCATTTTGATGTCATGAATTGCATCATTACTTTCATTTCATAAAAAAAAAAACTTTTTCCAGAATTTGCCAATATTTTGTATTTTATTTTTTGGAAAAAATCAAAACATCTGATCAAAGCATAAGTATATATTGACAGAACTGTTAGAGTTTTTATATCATTTCTTCAGTATTGTTTTATGTGGGGCGGAGGAAGAGCAGACCCTGCCCAGGCTGGGTGATGGAGGATGATGATGTGGTGGCCTGTATCCTCCCTGATGACTGTCCTGACCAGGAGGGACTGACCATTAGTATCATCAAAGGATTTCACTTCATGGACCGACTCAGCAATGATGAAAAAATGACTATGATTAAGGCAAGTATTCATACATTTTTTAGTTTTTAAATGAAATATGACGATAAGGAACAGTGATCATGCTTAAAAGTATTGAAACGATGCAAATTGTAAGTAGATCAACAGGGACCACTTAAAACAGAGATGGGATCAGGTGCCATGGAAGAGTAAGCATCCCATGTCAACAGTTCAGACCCACTGTGAGCTCATTGTCATGAAGCATCCCCTAGCAAATAGCTTGGCATGACAAACTTAGCAAATGAATCTTAAAACAATATGTGCCATTTTTGTGTTTAAAAAAAGCCATTGATTTACATGTACAATCTGGTCATGAGTTCCAAATAATTAGCTTTTGTTAGCATTTATACATTCAGTTGGGGTTATATTAAATATCATCATATGATGATGAAGAAAATATTTCAGATAAGCTTGTATTGGTGAACCTTTTGTCACATAATGATTACTTATCTAATGCCAACAGACTGAAGAGGCAGAAAAGCCAGCAGAAAAAGTTTTAATGACAGTAAGAGGAAAAAATCTGGAAAAACTTATTCAGGTAAGTTCAACATGCACATGTACTAAAGATCCATTAAAATGAGTGTTGTTAGCTGACATGAACCCAAGGCTCAAGTAAGTTTTATCTGATCGAAAGTTTTTCTGTTATCAATCCATCTATTCTTCTCTCCATTAACATTTCACGTTTTTGACTTCTTTGCAGAACCACTAGGGCTGGGATGATATAACATTTTTTTATATCGATACGTACCACAATATTTAAGCCACTAAGTTATACATCATGATATTTTAAATTGGTTATAAAATCTAATTTTTGTATTGAAATGAACAAAACATTTCTTCACAAATAAGAATAATGTATTCATAGAAGCTATATAAATATATATATTGTAAAACAAAATTGTTTCACACAATTGAAATATTGATTTGAATTTATGTTAAATATTATGTATTTCACGTTAATTTTTATATTTAGCATATCTTAGCATGTCTTATATATGAAACCCAAAATGATAAGTAAACAAGAAAAAAGAAGTCAGAATTGGGTTTTTTTGGCGATATTTCGATATTTCTACATATGTATCAATATAAGTATCATCCTAACACAGAATTGATATTATTGATATAACTGTATATCGTCCCAGCGGTCCAATTTCAATAAATAAATAAGAAGAAAAGTTCTTAGAACCAAGTTTTTGTTTAAAAAAAAGTTGTTTTCCAACCCCCAATTGGCCCCTGTGGTAGAGGACTCAACAAAGCTTATGCCATTGAAAAATCTATTATGAGATAATGATCATAAATTGTACTCTGCTTAGTCTGTGTGATTTTAGTTTAAATATAAAGGAGTATTACAGTAACTCAGTTTAATCAGTTATCTTATATACAGTGAAATATAAAATGAAAACAATGATGATTTATGAAGCAACAGTGAGAATGCATTGTATTTGAATTACAACAGCTCATACATTAACTATTTTTGTCTTACACTCTACACATGTACTGTCATTTTTGAAATATTGAGAAAAATTCATGAAATAAGACAAACAGTAAATGTTAAACACAGTTGTTATCCCTGAATAGTGATATTGTTAATATTATATAATTATTTGACAAACAAAGAGGCAATGCAGCATTGACTGAAAATTACTACAGTAATCGATTTTATCATTTTGAAAAAAAAAGGGGAATAAGTAAATTTTCTCTTTTACCAGTAACTGAAGTGTTTCATTTTTGATAAGATTATCATTTTAAATATAATCTTTTATTTACAAATGATTAAAATCTTTGCATACACTAATAGTAAGTAGAATTTAAATTAATAAAATCAAAAAAGAAGATTCCGTTGGTAATTCTGTGCAGAACGCTTACATGTATGTGAAAAAGAGAGATAAGACATGGTACAGCTAAGTTTTAAAAAATCCTGCTTCATAAATGTTGAAATTTGTGGGATGAGAAACTTGAGATTAATTTTTTAAGAGCTAAAAAAGTTTATTCTGCATAACACATCATTTTAGTGAATGGCAATTTAACGATTTTATCCTATGTTCAGCATTTATAATTAGAGTAATTAATTTTCAGCAATTAGGGATAGCTGTCTTAATTTAGTTGAACAATAAACTGTATACAGGATTATTTTCACTCTATCTTATTTTTTGCCCTTTCACAAATGCAAACAGTGTTGACCCATTTTAAATTTGCGCAGACAGAGTTGTGCTTAAAGAGACAATGGTTTTTATTGAATTTGCCCTGATTAAATGCAACAAGGACAAAAGGGTCGAAAATGAAAATGTAATTGAAATTTATTGATCATGTTGATATGATCAATCTATCAGACTGAATGCAGATTTTCAAAATACATAGTAAAGGAAAAATATCAAGGGTATTACAACTACATTATGTCCACCTTTTAAAAATTTTAAACATCTCAGAGCTCTGTTTCCATGAGAAATATTGTAAAACTGTGCTTGTATCTTCATAAAGCTTGCTTCTTTCACAGTGTCAAAACATTAACTAACTTTTCTATGCAATTAGATCTACAACAGAAAATTACTGTTAAGTTTCCATGGTATCTGAAGAAGACTTGTATCGGATTAGCACAGTTATATTAAAATGATTAATTAACATTATTGAATTAGTATGCTCACAAGATGTTTTTTGTATTTTTAAACAGGATGAACTAGGAAAAAATGTATTGAAGTGTATATTGGATGCTTATGGCAATGTAAGTGATTGTTGTTTTGTTTTAATTTTTTTTATAATAAAAAAATTTCCTCTCTTCCTATGTTTGTAGACTTATTAAAATAATTTATGCCCCTGTAATCAAAGAGGGCTTATAGATTTTTATTTGTCAGTCTGTCTAGCTGTCTGTTTTCAAAAACTTTAACTTTGCCCATAACAGAGTTTGATCTATGAAAAATTTGGCCATAACTTCTGATTGTTTAGTGCTAGGGCTTTCATATTTCACTTGTGTATTCCTTGTGACAAGACTTTTCTTTTGGTATATTTTTGACCTTTTGACTCTGACCTACTTTTCAAATCTAACCTTGACCATAATTTCTAAGAGGTTGGTGCAAGGGCTTCCATATTACACATGTATATTCCTTCCTTAGGTACCAGTATTTTTGACCTCTTGACCTTGTAGTTTGACTTGCATTTGAGAAACTTTAACCTTGTTAATTATGCTGTCATAGGAGGGCATCAGTGTTTTACAAACATGTCTTCTTTCTTTTGTTTAAAAAAAAATTTCCTGTTTGTCAAAATTACCAACTAGTACCGAGTTATTTCACTATAATCTTTATTCATTCTATAGTGGTGTTACTCTGTCAATCTGTATGTCTGTAAATTCAAGGTAAAGGTAGGGCTTCCATCACTGTACAGCTTCTAAACCAGCTTTTACACATGTTGCATCTGTAGATAATAAATGAGATGCATGCTTTGATTGTGTCCCAGAAACCAATATCAAAATTTGTAAATTTGTAAAGTAAAACTCAGTGTCTAAAAGAAATCACCAGACACTTGAATAAAGAGTAATATTTTGTCCCTTTTGATGGAATATTAATTTCCCCCTCTCCTCCATTGGCTTAATTGATAGGATCCAATAAAAGCAACCTTAGTTCTTCACATGCCTTTCAATTTATATTAAAATATTTAGTGTAAACTTAGAACATCAGATGAAAGTAGTATTTCCAAGAAAATAATCAAATAAAATTAGGACCCCCTCTTGCTAAAGAGAAAGTATGTTATAGTATTCTTTGATAGTTTAAAAACTCTCATTAAAACTTGCTTTTACAGAATGCTATTAATGGAAACACTGGTGGAACCATTAATTTGAATGCACCAGTTTTAGATAAGTATGTATATTTAAAAAAAAAATGTGATATACAAAAATTAATTTTTCTAAGCAAGAAGTTCAATTCTTGCCCATAGTCAGTATATGCATTCACATGACGAAGATTTTAACATCAATTCTCTGTAAGGACCAAAAATGCTTGGCCACGCACTATCATGGAATTTTATTTTATCACTATAATACTAGAGAGTGCCCTATATAAAGACTATTGGTGGGTAAATTTTGGATAGTACCTCCTTGGTTTCCATAGCAACGACTTTGAAATATTTTGTTATGGCAAAACTGACCTGATTGTCATCACCATGTAAAATAAATCCGTGCTTCCTTAATGTAGGAAAGTTATCAACATAATATGGGTTTCATTTTATAGCTAAGTAATTAAAGTTTCTGTGCATCTAAATTTTATTCAATTTAACCCAAGGTTTTTAATATGATACAGATCAATTTACATGAATTTGTCATAAAAATTAATACAAAGGTGCCTATTTCTTGATATGCATATTAATTTTTGCAGGCAATTAAAACTTAGAAAAAGATCTTTTAAGTAAGATCGAGCTTAGATCTAAAAGATGCAAAAAGATTTGAGGTGGGGAAATCAGTTAAAAGTCATATTCCAATCCCCTCAAATTATAACTTTTCCTAAAAATTAACCTAGAGTTATTTCCCTTTGCTGACTCTTTTGCACTGAAGACAAAAAATTAAACTGGTGTTATTTCCCTTTGTTGATTCTCCTGTATTGAAGTCTAAAGTAGTTTATAACAACATGTGGCAAAAACAGACGCCAGGAAAATAAACATGAAACAATAACAGAAAAATGATGTGTTTTTCAACTTTTTAAAATGGAATTCAGGTGTGAATGACAAAGTAAGTCATCAAATGAAGGAGACACTGCTTTCTCAGCATTCAACTTGATAATGATGTACAGGTCTTTATTAATAATAGATTTTTTAAAGCCAAATTCACTTTGCGAAATATTGAAATTTTATGAAGTCTGACTTGCATTCCCATCATGTGGGATCCCATGTACTCTAAAACTCATGAGAAAAATGCAAGATGCAATTGGAGGAAAACAACAAGCAGAAGATACGGCAGTCAGTGGGAATGGTTAGAACAACCCTAGGCACAGGTATAAATTTGAATTTTTTCAAATATTCATTTTGTATAAAAACTACATGTAAGAAGCTTTTTCAATTAAATTGACATAATTTTTAAATTAAGTATTTTTTTTTTTATATAATAGACTTAATTGGTCTATATTCAAAGATCACCATGTTAGCAGGACATTCCAGATATATATCTTATTAATATATTTGCATTATAGGAATTTTTGCTTGCTTCAGAAAGCAACTTACTTTGGCATTAATCAAAAATATACACAAGGCAATATAAAAAACATATATATTTTTGGTAACGTTGTACACAGTGGCGGATCCAGGAATCTTGAAAAGGGAGAGGGACCAGTTTGGTGTTGGGGTAGGGGCTCAAGGCCACACCAAAACATTGATTTATTAAATCTGATGATATATTTTGGACACGAAAGGGGGGGGTTATGCTGGGCCCCCCTCTAAATCCGCCAGTGGTACAGTTTAAAATCTGATTTGGCCAAAAAAGTAGCAGTGGTAGGTGGTGGGTAAAAATTAGAGATGGTCGACTTAACTGAAACACATAAAAAAATTTTTAGCCTAAAAAGAAGTCATAATTCATATTCACTGTAAAAGAACAAAACATATTTAACTGCAGCTATAAATACACACTAATAAGATATAAATATAATATACCCATGTAAATGTATGTATTCATGATTGACAATAAGAATGAATTTCTTTAATTTGAAAAAAAAAATATTTTAAACATATTTTAAATGTACTGGTGCCTCGAAAAGAAAAAAAAGAAGATGAAAAGATACATAGAGAAATAATTTTCAGTAAAAAGCAGGTGATTTTTTTTTTACAATTGTCTGGATATGGAATTTTCATTTTTTAATGCAAACTTCAACAATGAATTTATCAAATCTTTTATAAAAGTCATGATTTTGACAGATTCTGGGGGTGTAGTAATTATGAAAAGAAATACAAATTGGTTGTTGATTATACTTCTATGTATTGTTACATTTTAGGATTGTGACACAGGAGCATCACTTATGAAAGGTTGCACTCAAATAGTACAACGATGAAGGATATATGAGCAACTGTAAGTACACTATAATTTAATTAAATCAATTTTCTTTTTTCGCATGATGTATGTTTTATTAAACTTTTTTAAGATAATCTTAATTCACATGCAAATTTATGGTGGGTATAATTTACAAATATTCATTCAAAACTTGTTTAGGAATGTTTCCCTTGTGAGTACAAGTTCATACACTGAATATGTATAAAATTTATTTAATATGCAATATATATATGAAATAGTGTTGATGACTTGTATGAATATCCCTAATGCATATGATTTATACAAGAAAATTGCATAGGCCTACATGTATAAAATAACTACAAATATAAATATCCCATATTCAGTAATGATCGATATAGTTGCAAATGCTTGGGAAATAACTGATTAAAGAGAACCTTTATTCTTGTGTTTTTATCATCTTTATTTCAACACAAAGTCTATATACCAGAAGCAGGAGGCAGTTACAAAATTGACTAATGGAGACAGAAACCTGGCAAATGACCGTGAGAACTGACCATCGGACAGTAACTTAACTGAACAATATTCTTTTGGAGAAGATTCTGTTAGAACATGGGGACAGCTTTTGGAGTAGATGATGGTAAATTGTTTCAGTTACTTTTATCTTGCAATTGGCTACACTGAAAATACTGTATATGTACATAAATTGGCGTATTCAAAATTTAGTGCAATCACTGGGTATGGAGTGGTTGGCATAATCATGAATTAGCGCTACAAACGTCTGCGCCATGTATTATATTTATTGCGGTATTCATTAATTAGCAAATTGTTGTCTGCGTTAAAGGCGATAAAATATGAAGAACAGGTGCTTGGGGATGGGACCCCCTCCCCCGTGTTCCGTACCCCAAGGGTTCTCCCCGACTTTTTTCAAATAAAATATATTTCTTTGACACATTCACAAAGTATTACAATTGAAAAATCCAAAATATAATCTAAAACTAACCTTTTATAAAAATTCATACTCTATGATACTAAAAGTTCTCTTTTAGTATCCGAGAATATAAATTTTTATAAAAGGTTAGTTTTTAGGTTATATTTTGGATTTTTCAGTTGTAATACTTTGTGAATGTGTCAAAGAAATATATTTATATAAAAAAAGTCGGGGAGAACCCTTGGGGTATGGAACACAGGGGAGGGGGGGGGGTCCCATCCCCAAGCACCTTTGATAGGAAGCCTGCTTTTTCAAGTACACATACAGGATTTTTGATGCAATTTATTTCAAGGTGTAAATACTAACTACTAACTTAGTATTATATACATTTTAATAAAAATAGATATGCTTATATACTTGTATTTGTTATCACATGAAAAATGTAGTAATATTAAACAATTGCTTTTTTAATTAAAGTATACATGTATGTTTTTTATTCCAGGGGAAAAGATGAAGATGATTACTTCAAATATCACTTTTCAAACCCATTTAAAATTCTTCTTGACTGGTCAGACACAACACCATATAATGGTCAACCTCTGATGTAAAGAGAAATCATGGAAACATCAAGCCTAGCTGTGTCTATTAATTGTCTACAAAATTGCTATATAGCAGCTTTTTTGTACATTTTGTTTATCTCTAAATACACATTTTGGATAATGTTTAGATTTAGATTCTTGCTTGATTAATAATTTGAAAAAAATAAAACTTTTTAAAAGTAACGATAAAATTATACATATACACATGAATATGTGTATGTTTTCTGGTTGTAAGACTATACATTAATGTTTTATTTTTAATGGGGTGTTAATTTATGGTCAGTCTAAATAATTCTAAATTTCTTTAACCAAATAAAATTGATATCTAAAGATTTGCATCTGGGAACAAGCAATATTTAAATGGAGGAAATTAACATCAGCTTATCAAAGTTCAAACCTGCTAAATTAATATCTACCTACCTATGCATGAAAGAGTAATAATTTATTATTTATTTATTATTTTTTGGTTGAAAAGTATCATTAGAGTTTTTATCCATTATCTTTTTCCATTTTTTATCTAGTATTTGAAAATGTTGTTTACTGAAATAAGTTCCAGTGAAAAGTTGAATAGCTAATTTTCTTTAGATTTTGAGTTATCTGCCCTTTGTAAAGGATCATAGAGAAACAATAATAATTCATTTAATTTTGTTTTATCTTATTTAATATCTTTAATAATATTTACTAATCATTCCGTTTGTCTTATCTATTCGTGAGAAAAATGTTTGGAAAAGAAATTTTGTAAAACAACCAGTGTCTAGTAACATTTTGAACAAAATATTATTTGGCAAAATGCCAAATTTCGATGTTAAAAATACCAAAAACGAAAAAAATCCCCACTCTATTTTTCATAAAAGTTAACAAATATTATTATGGTGTTTCTAAAATTTCAGGTGATTTTTTCTTGAATTGCCTGCATTTCTTGAAAGACTTATTGAAATATAGGGTAAAAACCACCATTTTCAAAATGTAAGAATTTGGTCATCTTTGAGCCATCAGTTGAAGAATTTGCAGTGACTTGTAGAATTTTTTTTTATTGTGTTATAAAGTGCTTCATTTGTTCTATTCATATAATGTATGAATTATCTCAAAATAATAAAGATGATTAAACCACATGAAATCAAGTATATAGCGTTTTTATGCTTGAATTGAGAGTAAATGGGGCAAAAATCTATATTAGCTCGTTACCATGGCAACCAAGGTAGTAACCTTAATTTTGAATGTTGATTATGTCATAATGTATGGGCATTAATCACCTGAGAAAGTTTCATGAAAATCGCTCATGGTGTGTGCCACAGCCCTACAGTAAAATTTTGGTCCTTACAGAAAATGGATGTTAAATTGTATTTCTTTACATAATGTTAGTACATGTTTTTATGCTTGATAGGAATTTTTCAATTAAACCTACAGAAAAATATGTAACATGTTTTGATTTTTTTTCAGGTATGGGAAAGAACAGGTAAGGCTAATCATGTTTAAATACAAGAGATTATTATTATTATTATTTTTTTGGGGGGGGGGGGGGGGGCAAAACATAAACCTTCACCTAGCCTGATTTTCCATACAAACAGATCGTGTGACTAGGGAATCTTATTTAACATTTGTAATAGAAGAGACTTTGTATTTAAGATGTGTTGAACCAGGTTTGGAAATTTAATTGTGAAATTACTTGATTTAAAATACTTGAAAAGATTTTTTCCACAAAAGAATAAGAATGAAGGATTCACAATTTAATGCAGTTTTGAACTTATATATAAGAATGCAACTTTAAATTTGGCATTAAAATTAAAATGTAATATTATGCATGTTTAAATATATTATTGCAATGTACATAATCTACCTGATCAAGACTTGGGCTAGAAATGCTGCCAAATGAAAACATATACAGTAATCTGGATTACATTGGGACATAAGGGAGCTTTATTTTTACAGGAACAACCAGTATGGAATCAAATACAAAAGGATCCAGAGAAATTTGAACTCTTCTTCATGGTTTCTAAGAGAACTGGTATGCCATTTTTAAAATCGCAAATGTATTGGAAGGTTTGAATGAAGCTATTACTGTCTAAAATAAATAACAGATTTTATTTTAATATTCAGTGGAAGAAGAAAATAGCTGATGTTGATACAATTTTGTAATTTTATTTTAAAACAGAAATCGAGCTCCTAAAGAGAGGATTTACAACCCTCGACTACTCCTATTTTGAGAAAGACCCTGTGAATAAATACATGCCATGGGAAAGGGTGTTCTGTCTTAGATGTAAAAAGAACAGGAGAATTTGTCCATGTGGACCTTTCAGAAAATTTATTGAATTAGAGCCCACAAAAATGGAACCAGTAAGTGTAACAAAAAGGGATGATCTGGATTTGAAGCTTGGAACTAACATGAAGAAACCCATTCTTCAAGATCTACTAAATAAAGAGTTTGAAAACCATGCTTCTCTTAAAGAGAAGGAAAGACAAAGATTTCAGCAATTAAAGGCTAATTTACAAAGTGTGCCAGAGGATGATGAGAAGGCTAAAGAGGAAATGAGAGATTTTATTGTGACTGTCCTCAAGAGGAGGAAAACAGATGGGGAACTTAGCCCTCAGAAGGAGGATAAAGAGAGGCCCAAGAGGGTGCTTTTATTTGGAAGTGGATTAAGCACAGATGGGGTTACTAGGGTAAGTCAAGTAAAACGAATGGATGAGGATGTGAAGAAATATGAAACACAGAAAATTAACAATGCAAACAATAAGAAGGATAGAGCATGTAGAACTGATGGTAATGAGAAAAGTAGAATTAGAGAAGGCAGGAATACAGGAGCTGTAAGTAAACTAGAGCCGAAACTGAATATCAATGGAACAGGAGAAAAACAGAAAGGAAATGTGGTTCAAATGGCAGTTAGACAAAAGGAAGTACAAGAGAAAAAAGCTGATGATAAAAATGCAAAATATAAAGAAAAGAGCCCAAAAGTTGAAGCAGTTGGACTGGAGAACATTGATAATGAGGATGAGAATGAGGATTGGGTAAGTATTTCAATTCTGTTTTGTGGTTAATTTATCAAAGGATTGATTGGTTAAACTGGGCTCAATTGTTCCAATGTGATTAAGTTGTTTTGATTGAAACTCTTTTTGATAATCCACAGGTTTTTCTTTTAAACCATTGATAATTTAGCAAGAAAAGCTTGCTTTGCTTTTCTTTTCTTTTCTCTTTTTTTGGGGGGAGGTGAGGAAAAGTGAGGGAATTATAAATTGTTTCATTTGCAGACAAGCACAGATGAAGAATCCAGTGATGAGAAAAAAGAAGACGTTCAACCTTTAGAGACAAAGTCAAAAGAACAAAACATTCTGGATGACTCGGATGATTGCTTAACGACACAAGCTGTAGAGAAGGAAAATGATAAACAGACAACTTCTGCAGAAGAAGGAGAGATGAAATCAATGGAGCAGTCACCCATACCAGGACCTGAAGTTGAAGTTAATAGGGATGACATTGAAAGAAGTAAAAATGAACCTTCTTTGCTAGAAGAGGAGAAAGATCAAATAAGGAAAAGCAAGGATGATGAAAATGAGCAGGTTGTTTTGAAAGACCAAGGATCCAAATTAAATGAAAAGGGTCAGATGGATACTGAAGTGGATAAGGAACCAGTCATTACACATGAGAATCAATCAGATAATCCAGAAGAAGAAGAATCACTTACATTAAAAGAAGAAGGAAAGCCAACAAGTCTAGAACAGGAGGAAGTGATTGTAAATAATCAAGAGGACCAGGGAACCAAGTTAAATGGAGAGGGTCAGATGGATACTGAAGTGGATAAGGAACCAGTCATTACAGATGTAAATCAGTCAGCTAATCCAGAAGAGGAAGAATCACTTATAAAAGAAGAAGGAAAGCCAACAAGTCTAGAACAGGAGGAAGTGATTGTAAATAATCAGGAGGACGAGGGAACCAAGTTAAATGGAGAGGGTCAGATGGGTATTGGAGTAGAAAGAGGACCAGTCATTACAGATGAAAAGCAGTCAGCTAATCCAGAAGAAGGAGAATCACTTATAAAAGAGGAAGGAAAGCCAACAAGTCTAAAACAGGATGAAGTGATTGTAAATAATCAAAATAACTCTTTTCTGACAAAAGAAAGTCATTCATCCACAACAGATCAAGATAGATCAACTAACACAGTAGAAAAAGAAGCAGTTGCAGCAGATCAGGAAAAGTCAGTGATAACAGAAGATCTATCTGCAGAAGATAAAGGCACACAAACCACTGCTGAAAAAAACGGCTCCTTTGAGGAAAATGTGGACAAATCCATTACTTCATTGATGGAACAAAATTCTACCCAAACAGACCAGGACAGAAAGACGCAAGATGAGTTTATCAATCAGCGTGAAATATTAACCAATAAAATAGATGAAGAGTCCTCTACAACAGAACCAATTATTGAGAAGAAAGAGAAAATAGTGGGTGTAATACTTAAGTGTTGCTCATTTTGCAACACAGAAGAACCAGCCCCCAAAACATACAAAAAATGCCTTAAGTAAGTCCTTATGTCACAGTGTCTGTATAGTAAGTGATAAAGAAAGTGTGTAGTATGGGCCTCATTTGAGCCCCTTTTCATATTCAAAAAGTTACTTAGGAAGCCAAAATTGTATCAATATCAAAAGTTATATTGATGAAAACAAGTAACATATAGTTCTTGTATCATGGATGTTAACATGGAATTTAAATCTTCAGTATTTCCTTAACAGCTGCAGGAAAAGGAGAGAATAATGTGATTTGAACCTTGACGTGTGTTTAGCTCACCTGGATAAAGTCAGGATGAGCTTAGTTAAACCTCCCGGTTTTGGGTTTTGGTATCAGGATTTCAGAGTTGAGTTATTTTTTTGAGCAGGTCCATGCTCAAGTGACTGTAACCTCGACCAAGCTTGTATGAATGATGCATATAGGAAGGCTTTCAACCAGTCATACTGTGGATACTTATCTGACCTATATCTTTCTGGATTTGTTACCAGTTTAAAGATTTTTGGAGTAGGTCCATTCACCTATAAATTTAAGCCCTACCTGGACTACTCTTGTACGGATGATATACATGTGACTAGGGACTATATGTTTTAAACTATATTCAGCTTAAGTGACCAGGTTAAAGCTTTTGAAGCAGGTCCATTTTGAAGTAACTTACCAGACTTGCATGGATAATGAGATGAATACTAAGCACCTTTGCTTGAGATACCTGCAAGTGATCACATGTATTTGTGGTTTATTGAAAGACCTATAGTAATGATCTTACATGTAACTAGTGGGTCTTTCTGAATATTCATTTGGAATAAGAGTTTGGCTTTCTTGTAGATGTGAACATCGTAATCTTTCTTTAGGCCTTATGTTTTATCTTTTATGGAGTAGTTCTCAGGAATAGTTTTATTAAACATAAATTTTCTTGATCCACAATGATTTTTAAGGTATGGCCCAAAAGCAAACTAAATTAAAAAAAATGATGTGGATGTGATAAGACATATTTATTTTGCCGTTAGTAAAACTCTTGTCTGTTTTAGACCTGACTAAACAAAACCAAAATTATTATTTCTTTCTTTTGAATTTGTTCAACGCTTAATAACAATAACTTTCTTCAATTTATTTTTAAATTCCAGATGACCTTTAAAGTATGTATATGTAAAATTGTTCTTTATTTCCATATTTTTATTCTTCAGATGCAAGCAAGAAGGAATTATTAGTGCTAGGTATTACTGTGGGAAAAAATGCCAAAGTAAGTAAATTCATACGAAAATGAATTGCCTCTTTTGAAGTGAAGTTCTGTATTGAACATTTTAAGAGGTTTCTTGAATATTCTTCAGCAAGTAAATATATTACATTTTAATTTGAAAGGTGCAGGTTTTAAGCTGTTCGGCTATTATTTACATTTGGTATTTCCTTTGGTGGTGACAGCATCTTAAACATTCTATATCACCTAAATTTCATAAAGTTATTTCTTAGTACCTTATGTGAATTTGTTAAAATCTACTGTTGCTAAAAATGAGTGAATGGGGCTGTATTTTATGGAGAGAAAAAAAAGTAATTTTGGCATTATTACCAGTCACTAGTACATGGTATACAACTTTCCTGTAAATATTTTCAGCATCAGATTGGAAATTACGTCATAAAGGAGAGCACAAAGAAAACCTACTGGACTGATTGGATGTTTTGTAGATTTTGCTATACCTGCTACAAGGCCTATCTCTAATTTAGAAATAATCTGATCATGGCGATTGTTTGCAGTGCATTTATGTTTTTAATTTTTCCATCATTTTCATTTGTTTTATTAAACTTAAATGTTTTTAGCATGTAATAGTAATGCCATTATAAGGTAAACTTTATAAATATTGACTGTTATGTTATGCAGTTTTATTTACGGTAAAGGATATGAAAATTTTTTAATACATCATTTTAGTTTCGCATGTGAATGTCTTTAGGTTAAAAGACAATTGTGTAGCTTACTCTGAACTCATTTTAATAATAATTATTATATCGGAAGGACTTGCTATTACAATGTACGTATCTTTGTTATTATGTTGAATTTATCTAACACTTATTTGATATTTTTCAGATTGTGTAAATTTAAGTAAGTTTATTGGTAAATTGTAATCGAGAAATACTTGTTTAATTGCATTTTGATTTGTTTTGTCTTTGTTGTAATTAAGAAATAAACAACAATGTTAAAAAGTTCTCTGGGAAATGAACTTGGTTGGTCACGTGATCAAATCCTGTGAAGCCCGAAGGGCTTCTCAGAAGATTTGATCACGTACCAACCAAGTTCATTTCCCAGTGAACTTTTTAACATTGTTGTTTATTACTTTTATTTACATTTGAGACGAATATTCGGAATAGAACTGCATTTATTACACGAACGGCCCGCCGTATTGCTATGTTGTGACGCGCAATGACCTAGAAGTTGTTTGGTCTTGAGAGTTCGCCTCGCTCCAACATTTGAATACTTACATTGATGTTTAGCAGTCCAGTTCAGGAAATATCTGTTCATAATGCAAAAACAATGATCGCTACTGGGAATTATCTTACTATTATTGTACGAGTTCTTTATATATAAAGTCAAAAGCGGTGCTATCGTCTTCAGTTTACATACCTTCAAAGGAATTTCGGGTTAAAAAGGTAAGCGTGATTTTAGGCTAATTAGAAACATTCTTCACACCGAAGAAAGATCTAACGATCATTTGTTGAACGAAAAAAATAATTTATATGTTTCAATAATTTTATCTTTTTCATCGCTTTGACGGTTCAGAAGTTCCGAAACCAGTGTCACTGTGACAGAAATATGTAGACAAGATATCGTCTCGCTGTGTGATTCGGTCACGCCATGACCTCTGACCCCCTAATAAGTTCATACAGAATTGAACATATTTTCTCTTCTATAGGTTCATCTAAGAAAAATATTTGCAAATGTAAATAACTACAAATAATGAAGATGACTAAGTGTATATGAGCACTGTTTTGTGTTTTTAATGTACTCTCCTTATGTGTTTTGTTCATTGATTTAATGTATATAATTTTTTTTTAAAGTTTTGTGTTATGTGTCCATGTTCGCAAACATGACTAAGAGTATTTATTTGAATAAAAAGTTTATACTGTAGGTTATTGATCAGTAAAATCAGTAATGAATGGAGCTATATGTACTATTACATAAAGGTGGTAGTCTTGCCTGTAAATCGTGATTCATTTAACAATGTACATACTATATACACCACATTACTGTTTTCAACAAAACAATTAAACATGCCTTACACATGTTACATGGATAAAGCTTCTATTCCATTAAATGCATCTTTTGACACAACTGCGTAGTATCAATTCAACTCATACTATTTACAACAAAACTATTTAATGCGGACGACGTGACTGGAGCTACTATTTGATAAAATGCATGTCGTAATTGTCTAAATTATGCGTAGTATCAATTCAGTATTACAATAGAAATAGAAATATATAAAACATACAAAATCTATAATAACCACCCTTTGAATCAAACTGCGTATACATGTACGAATATTTACGTTCATTGAATATCTTCTTTTTTCTTAAGAAAAGCATTGCCGTTTATCAATATTTACATTCACTTAATATTATTTACTTTATTTCTTATGAAAACCATTGCCGTTGATCAGTCAGTAAACAACACTAAGCTAGCCACCTGCATAGATTTTTGGATTAAAGGCTGTTCCATCAATTATGCATACAATGACATACACATCTATAATACAATATTTAATGCATTTTAATTTTACTTCGAATGTTTTTTATGCAGATATAAATATAAAAAATAAAATGTCTTTCATTGTTAGTACGGGAATTAACGTCGCAGCTATTGCAGGAAAAAATTCACATAACCCGCTTACACGGGTTATGTATTTTTTCTGCAACAACTGCGACATTAATTCCCGTACTAACAACCAAAGAAAGCATTTTATTGTGTAAGCATATCACCTGTACAGATTTTTTGAGCAGTGGCTTTTCCATCAATGAAACATACAATGACGTACATACCAATTAATTATAATACAATGTTAAGTCTACTTAATCCTACTTTAGATGATTATTTGTACGGATATAAATATAAACAATAAAACGTCTTTCTTTCTTTGTTAGTATGGGAATTAACGTTGCAGCTATTGCAGTAAAAGATTACATATAACCCGTTTACGCGGGTTATGCATTTTTTATGCATCAGCTGCAACATTAATTCCCATACTAAAAACCAAAGAAAGAATTTTATTGCCTTAATTAATGAGGATAATAATAAATCTGGTACAAAGAAGATGGGTGAACATGGCGAGCGATAAGCCTATAGTGTGACAAACATGAAGATGAAAAATTAAATTTCAATTATATCAAAATTTTCCTTGATATTTCGTCTAACATTAAAATATACTTTATGTAAAATCTCTACAATTTGCAAAAATCTCTCAAAGATTGAAATTATTTGCCTATGAAATATTATATACACACTAAAGCGGGCAAAAGAGTCAATTCCTCGTACTAAAACACAATTTTTCGATATGAGTGTGTCTTCGCTCCACATTTTTGAAAGTTAATCCTCAAAGTTTGCATAAAAATATACATTTTTTGGTTACTAAAAATATACTTTTATGACATACATTCGATTTTTTCGAGAAATACTTGGAAGTCCATTAAGTCAAGGGTCATACCACAAATATGAATTAAATGCCACTCTTCACCAGGACTTGTGTAGTCTAGTGGTTAGCGTGCTAGTCTCGAAAGAAAATGATTCTCAGGATTTTTATTGCTAGGGTTCGAACCCCACGAATACCACATTATTATATTTAATAAAAGAATAAATTTTGCAGAGAAAATTTGAACACCAGAATGACGAACTGTTCTTAGGTGTTAAACAATGTGAACATGATCTATCAGGGACCAGACTCGTTTACCCATACAATCTAATCAACCATTTTGAGCTTTCATTTTTTGGTTCAGAGTCACATGCCAGTCATTAAATTTGACTTCCGTTTTTGGTTTTTAGGCACAAACTGACATTATATATCGATTATCACTTTCTATTTCTTGTTTCTATTTAAATGTCAGAGATCGTTTTAGAGGTTTTTGAGTCACAGACCTAGACCTCTACGGTTTGTTCTTAATTCGGAGATCTCTGTGGATTAATTTAGTAGTGTTTTTGTCACAAATCGGTAAAAGTCAAAATCGGTAGTTTAAGGTCAGACGTCACGTTCCTCAATAATATATAATCTTCCCCAAGAATTTTTGATTGAAGTATTGCTGCTTTAACAAGTTTCCTCACCAAAGATATATGTACATAAATTGCCAGGCATTTGTGCAAGATACCTGAGGATGCTTTTTCCCATATAATTCTATTGGATATCACTTGAATTGCTGATATCACAGTTTTTTATGTTAATATTTTAAGACATTTTAAAAACTGTTTAGAAATAACATGACAATAAGAATTGGAAAGATTTTTGGTATGTTACACAGAGATACAAAATCAGATATTCGAGGAACCTGTCGTCAGACCTAAAGTCGTACATAGATGCATGTATATTCATCGTCTAGTTCGCGCTGCTTTCAGCCATTTTCGCTGTCACTGTTTCCGAGCCACTTTAGATTACGATGGAATCTATTTTAAAAAAAGAAAGAACTCGAATAGTTAGCATATTGATGTAAAATTCATAACAATGGAATAGGAATAATTTGAGAAAAAAGTTCAAGAACATTTCTTAATCAGAAAAGTGCTGTAGTTTTTGTCTTTTACCAGGAAGCTGTAGTTACATACGTAGTATTCTTCATATAGTTGTTCCTGTCTGGGGCATCGGGTTTCTGGCTGCTGAGGCCCATCGCTCAACTGAGCACATTTGAAAGGAAAAAAAAACGGAAATCAGTTCAGTATTGAAAAGTTTACAGGAGGGGGTGGGGAAACTTGAATTTACACTTCCTCAGAATGCTTCCGTATTAATATTGCTTATCATGGCTTTGCTGTTCTTAAGCAGATTTTTTTCATATGTATTCCTATGTACAACTCTGATTGCTCATTGTGGCCCCGCCCTACCCACCTTAGATTTGAACAAATTTGAATCTATACTACCTAAGGATGCTTCTATGATAATATGACTAATCTTGGCTTTGATGTTCTCGAGATTTTTTCAAGATTATTCCTATATATTCTTATGTAAAACTTTGACTCTCTGTTGTGCACCCCAATCCCTGGGGGATGGGGGGGGGGGGGCATAATATGAACAAACTTGATTCTACAATACCTAAGGTTGCTTTATATAAATATGAATAATAATGGCTTAGTTGTTCTTGAGAAGATTTCTAAGGATATTTCCTATGTATTCCTATGTAAAACTTTAACCCACTGTTGTGGCCCCGCCCTACCCCTGGGATCATGATTTGAACAAACTTGAATCTACACTATCTGAGGATACTTCTTTATTAATATGACCAATAATGGCATAATTGTTCTTGAGAAGAGAAGTTTTTAAAAATATTTCCTACATGTTCCTAGGTAAAAAACTTTGCCCCCCCCCCCCATTGTATCTGCGCCAAACCCCCCAGGGATCATGATTCGAACAAACTTGATTCTACACTACCTGTGGATACTTCTTTATTAATATAACGAATAATAGGTTAATTGTTCTTGAGAAGAAGATTTTAAAAGATATTTCCTTTATATTCCTATGGTAAACTTTGACCTCCTGTTTTGGCCCTGCCCTTCCCCCAGGGGTCATGACTGGAGCAAACTTGAATTTACACTACCTGAGGATGCTTCTATAATAATCTGATTAATCATGGCTTTGCTGTTGTCGAGAAGAAGATTTTTAAAGATATTTCCAATATATTCCTATGTAAAACTTCGAAGCCCTCTTGTGGCCCCGCCCTACCCTGGGGGTTATAATATGAACAAACTTGAATCTAGAGTATGTATTGAAGCTTTCACATAAGTTTTATCTTTTCTTGCCCAGTGGTTCTTTAGAAGATTTTTTAAAGATGCCACCAAATTTTCATGAATTCTTAATTATCTCCCCTTGAAAGAGGTGTGTCACTTCATGTGAACAAATTTTAATCCCCTTCACCTAAGGATGCTTTGTG